AGGAAGGGGATAGTCTCGACCTTGCCAGGCTTGGGCTTCTTAGAGGGGCTGTCCTCGTTGGGGATGATCTGGTTCTCGTTCATCGCCAAGGAGCGAAGGACATCACCATACAGGTTCTTGATCTCGAGCTGGGAGGTCTTCGACATCTTGTGCTGCTCCTTGATGAGCTTGTAGATGCGGCGAAGATCGTTCTGAACCTTGGTGCGGTTGCCATACTCGGAGATCTTGCCACCCTCAGCCATCTGCTGAACGTAGTGCTCCAGCTTGCGGCAGCTGGCACGGGGAACTTCCTCGTAGTTGAGGTTGCCGCGGGCATCGACAGTGGTCTGAGGGCCCGTGGGAACGGCAACGTCTTTGTAGACGGGGTTGGCGTGGAGCACCTCCTTGCAGTTCTCGATGAGTTGCTCGCCAAGCTCCTTGGCGAGCTTGTAGGTCTCACCACGCTCCGCTGGGCAGTTATCAATGTGGTACTGCATGAACTCGACCAGAGTGGGGTTGGAGCGGTTCATGATGCGGATGCACTGGCTCACAATCTCGCGGTCAACAGCCTTGAGGCGGCCAAAGATGATATCGTAGTACATGTGGAGGGCATCTTGACGCGCCCAGTTCCAGGAGGAGTCGTAAGAACGAGCCTTGAGGGAGCTGAAGACGGGCTGAATGCCGGAGGCGTAGAAGTCGCCGTGCTCAGCAGTCCAGAGGTCAAGCTGGGACTGGAGCACCTTCTCGGACTCCTGAGAGGTGATGTACGCCTTGTCGCCGGCGCGGAGGTCGAGCTTGAGATACCTCGCGAGGAGCTCGAGCTGCTGCTTGAACAGAGCACGCTGGTCCTTGGTCAAGGCGTCAATAGCGGCAGGATCCATCATCATGCCGCCACCAGAGCCGCCAGCGGCAGCACCAGCCTGGGGAGTAGACAAGCTGATGCCGGCAGTAGCAGCGTACTTCTGGGTAACATCATCGAGGAAAGCCTTAGCATCAGCCTCGGATCCCAGACGAGCTGCAGGCTCCATGGTGAGAGCAAGCAGCAGAGTGCCGTCCTGCCTTCCGGAGCCCAAGCCCCATCTTGTCTCAAGGTATTTTCTCGCGGCTGTGATGTTGAAGCCACCGGGCATCTTGGAGGAGATCAGACGTGCGATAAGAGCCTGTGATTGCTTTCCAAGCTGTCCATCGAATGTGGCCTGCATAGAGGAACCGAGTTCGTCGAGAGGAACATCTTCGGGCTTCTCCGGTGTTGATCCGAATTCCTTGCCAAGGTCACCGAGGATTTCGTTCTGGAGCGTGGACTTGCCTGAATTCAACGGGTTAGTTATTTTGACGGTCAAGGGGCCATGCAAAACTTTTCAGTACTTACCACCGACAAGGTCCTTGATAGCCTTGCTTAGAGGCACCTCGGCCAGAGGCTTCTTGAGTTTCTGAGCAATGAGAGCTCGCAGGATGTCAATAGCCTGCACGGGAGCATCCTCAACGGAAGCGGCAGGGCCGGCGCTGGGAGGGGGGGGAGCCGCTGCAGCGGGGGCAGCAGCAGCCGCAGGAGCGGCGGAAGAACCAGCGGCTGGCGCGCTCGACGGGGCGGCAGCAACCTCTGGTTCCTCCTCGATGGGGTCGGCCTCGTAGTAAATCTCCTTGGCGTCTTTGTTGTAGCAGAGGATCTGACGCTGAACTGACTTGGCGGCATCGTAGGCTTCGTACTTGGAGGCGAGGGTGCGCTTGGCCATGACGCCGAGAGTATCGGCGGGACCAATCTCTACCACCCTCTCGGCGGTCTTCTCGGCGAGGAAAACATCTTGGGTCTCAATCCACCGCACGGGCGAGGCGAACTGATAGGCGAGGAGCTCCACAAGGAGCGTGTGGGCAAGCTCTTGCTCGACTTCGGGACGCATGATGGGCAGCTGGAGAGGAAGCTGGAATGCTCAGTTACACGGAGCTGGGAGGAGAACCGGGAAACTGAGAGTATCGAGTCGTCGACGAAGTTTTGGGGATGGGAGGGGAAATGATTGTTATCCGTGGGAAGCCGTGGGAGAGCCGGTTTCCTAGGAGGAATGGTGATGTCTGCGGGAAGGGGTATATGTGAAGCAGACAAGCTCGCCAGACTTTTCTGATGTGTTTGCTGGACAGTCGGTGAAGGCTGTTCAAGGGAGGAAGGATCAAGTCCGCGCCAGAGAGAGGGAGGGACAAGCTGGCAAAGGCGAGCGAGGGAGATGTAGAGAAGATTGTGGGAGGAGTTGTCGAGCCACGAGTGAAGGGAAGACGGGTGGATTTGATAGAAAAAGAGAAGTGAGTGCGAGAGAGACAGAAGTTCAAAGTCGATGGCTCTAGCCCCTCGATATCGGGTCACTGGCGCTTGATTGACTTTCTTGGGGGTGTCTGTGTGAGGAGAGAACACCAACTGGACTGGAACGGGAGGGATTGGGACCAGTCTCGGCAGGAAAAAAGACGATTGTTGAACCAGGCAAGGGCCCCCACCAGCTCAAGGAAGGCAGTGATGAGAGCCCAGAGAAGAGAGTGTGGTGCGAATGTATGTTGTGGTGGTGGTGGTGGTGGTTCCCCAAATGTCGAGGTACCTCGACGACACGAGGTACAAGGTACCCATGTTCCACTCTATCATACGGATGGCAAGAAAAAAACATGGGTGAGGGAAGGACCATGTCTCGACGCATTGTGAATGGCTGATGACCTCCCGCCTGTTTCTCTCTTACCGCAGTGGTTTTTTTTTTTCTTCCCTATCCTTGCAAGGGACGTGGAAGAGGTCCCGAAGGAAAGTGAAAAGCGGGGTGTCAACTTCCCGGCGCGCGTTGTCCCTTCCCTCCCATGTTTTCCCCCCTCCATGCCGGTGGGAAAGCACAATAGCTGCTGGTGTGGAAGTCGACAAAGTGGTGTGGCTGCCGGGTGTGCTGCAACGCCTGCAGAGCTCCTCAACCATATTCAGACGCTTTCCCCAATCGAGCATGGGATGATCAGGGGGGCTTCCCCACAAAACCATTTCATTGGGGGAATGCAGGATGGGACAGTGGACACAGTCCGCTACGATGATTAATTTTTGATTTTCCTTGGGAGGGACGGCAGGGAGAGAGGGGGCTGTCAGTGATGTGCCGTTGACGTTAGAGCTACTGCGTACTAGTATAGTTACCTTAGCTACCTCTGTAGTTTACAAGACCCTACTGAATCCGAAGAAGAGTTGGTTACGAACCGCTGAAATCCCACCAAGAGATGGGATGATGAACGAGCAATAATCTCATCAGTTTGACCGCAGCCTTCAAGGAGCTCCCGGTCGCACTCGTAAAGGAACATTCAAGCCATGTAAAGCGTGAGAGTCTTAGGGTACCATGCTCATCCTCGTCGTGAGCCGCCATCGAAGCTGATCTACAACATGTCGCTGGATGCCTATCACCTGGCCCGGTGATAGTCAGTCAATGCTCTCCCATCATCTGTGCGAGAGAACGAGCGAAGCGCTGGCCGCATCATTGAGCCGCATGCATTATCGACAAGTCTCAAGTGGCTTCATCCGTGCGTTGTGCTTTTTCGACCTGGTGTTGACTAAGAATCCTTCCCCTTCTTTAGAAACTTGCGACTGCAATGCCATGTTTATTTCCAAGGCTTTGCTGCTGCTGTCAACGTGGACTAGTGCAGTTTGGCACGCCTGGGCTGTCGTGGCGCCCAGTTGTGTTTTTTGCCATCTTCTCAGACCAGACATGCTGGCGTCACCAATTTTATCGCGTCCCTTTTCCCAAGCTGTTGGAATGTTGGATTTGGGCTAGTGGCGGCCGTACCTGCCCCTCGACAAGAATTAGTGCGCGTAGGTAGGCGTTAGACCGGTGCGAGGTTGTGTGGCTGAGACCTCTCCAAGCTTTACAGATACCTCACATCGTTACGCCTTCAGTCTGATCGGGTCCCTATCAGCAGCCCCTTATCGCCGCATTCCTGTTGGTCATAACCTCTGCCGAGATCCAGCCACGGCTTATTTTTGGGAGTTGGAGCTTGGAGCTTTGAAGCTTGGTGGGACGTTGAGGCCGATAACGATAAGCTGCAAGCCGCTACGGATACGGTTCCGGCAAGTTTCGTCGCGGCGGGAACTCAGTTGAAGCTTTCAACCACGGATCGATTCTCGTATGTTTACGCATGTACGGCAAGCGTCAAGCTACGGCCGGGAAAATGGTGCCATGATAGTAGATGGGCTCGTCAACCAATGGGGTCCCGGGAGATAGTAGCCGTAGCTCCTCATTAAGGCCCCCTCCAAAAAAACCGAAAAAAAAAAAAAAAAAAAACTTCCAAGTTGTCAGCACGAGAGGACGCAAGGGTGGAATGGGAATGGAGGGAGACGAGGGGCAAAAAGTGGCCGCTGTTCTAGGAACCCGCCAAACTTGACGGGGGGCCAACGTAGCGATACTTGGCGGCTCCGTTTTACAACAAACTTGACCCGAGCTTGTCCCCATTCTTCGGATTTCTTACTCTACTATGTAATTCCCTTCGAGGTTCGAGTCCGCTGTTTGAGATGCTTCAGCTTCAGCCTCGACCGGGAGCTGGTCTGAATTGATCTGCTTATCTAGCAACCTGGTATGCCCATGCTGACCTTTTGACGGCGTCCGACGGGTCGCTCCAGTTCTTCAATGGGGGGTCATTGGGCAGGGTCAATGGGGAGGGAAATGTGGGGCCAAGACGCGGCAGGCGGCAGCCTCATCCAACAAAACCATTGTGATGCGCAACAGATGCGGCGGATCGCCGTTTGTCTCTGGCGGCCACGACTGGCATCCTGGACTATTAAGTTCGGCTTGTCCGAGCCCGCCGAGCGGCATCGATGAGCGATCGGAGACCGAGCCAGGGAGCTCGGTGCAACAAAATGTCGAGGTTCAAGAATTCCAGCCCTGTTCTCATCAGTGCTGCGGGCGGGTTGTCTCAAAGATGCACGATTCTTAGCGCCAGTTGCCCCTCGTCCCTCAAAAAGGGGGGCAGAAAAGAGAAAAAGCAAAGAGGACTGCCATCGAGGGGCTTGCATTCCTCGACGAGAGTCCGCGTGGCATGGCACAGAGATAGCTCCCGCCCCGCCAGCCAGCTGTCCAAGCGTGCGTGCTCGGATGACAAGAGGTTCGAGTGCGGTGAGATTTCGATGCGACGCAATGGCGGGTAACTGTACATCCCGTTCTCCCTGCCGGCTACCCCCTTCCTCAGGGTCCCGCGCATTTCCCATCCACCCCAGCATCAGCCCCAGGCGTGGGGTGAGAGCGGTGGAGAGGAAAGGACGGCAGAAAACCCGGTTACGACCCTAAAACCTGTTGACCGCCTTCGAACCGACTGGGGAGCTGCTGCGGGAACGCAAGGAAGGTTCAAGTAACCTGTACTTTGGGTGATCCCGATTCCCGCATATCTGGGACACGTAGGGTCCAGGCCGATGTGAGCGATATACACTCTCTCGCCTCCGTGGCGAGGCGAGAAAGAAGAGGCAAAAATAAGAATAAAAAAAAATAAAAAAAACCCGATTACTGAACAGAACCCAAAACTTCATTGGCAAGGCACTTCGGCAGCGAGAGATGCCACGCAGAGCCCGAGATAACCCGCGGCGGCGTGAGCGGGTGAGCGTGGCTAATGCTTGTTTGATGCATCCGGGGTAGCAGCACGGCATCTTATCGCCGTGCGCGTGAAGTCTGTTCTTACAAAGAACGTGGTGGGAGTAGAAGAGCCGAAGATGATAGCATTTGGCCGAGGATTCGTGCGTCCATTCATCCAGGACCCCGACAAGAGGAGGGTGGCGGTTAGGTAAGTTGCTCAGACTCGGCAGCGAAGATCCGGAGACACAAGATGCACGCCACCCCAAAAGTGCATCATAAGAGGGAAACAGGATGGAAGAGCGTGGATATTGGCACCGTCTAGCTAAGTACGATGCCATCGTCGTCGTCGTCGTCGTCGTCGTCGTTGCAGTGCGGTGCGTCCTGCCATCCATGCGTGCCTCGGCGACGGTCAGCGGAAGAGGAGGACAAGTACCGATACATCGCCGCCCTCGTTCTCCAGCAGGAGGAGCACCCTTGCGGATCACTCGGGCTGCATGAAGCCAAGGGTGGAGCTGGAGGGGTGGATTGGGTGTGCGACCATCCCCAACAGAACTAAAAATTGGCGAGACATTGAGATTTGAGACTTTGAAGAGAGGGACAACTTCAACATGGAGTAGCAGAGAGGAGTAAGACACCAGATACCTATTGACAAGCATGAATACCCTCTTGTATACCGGGACAGACGTGGCGAAACCAACCAGGTAGCAAGCGTAGATGAAAGAAGGAGACGAATGAAGGAAGATGTTGCAGACAAGGTGCCAATTTACGCCAGCAATTCCTGGAAAGTGCTTTAACTGTCTCTTTCCATTGGCAGTCCAATGCCAGGTAGGACAGGTAGCCGGTGTCAACGCTTGTTTACTCGTTTGCTCGTTTACTTGCAGGCGCACAGAGAAGTGGTACGACAGATGACAGACCCCGAATAGGTACCCGATTCGTTCAATGCCATAGATACTATGTACAAGCTACATCGGGCCAACGAGCCTTTGCTCCGCCAGCCCGAACCAACTGGGTGCATTCCAACGTCTAATGTCCCAGAAATGACCTGGCCTGATTTTTTTTTAATCGTTGAGTACCGTCTCTACCGGCGTGCGTTGTACCTTACCCTTTCCTAGGTACCTCCTTCCACTCTTGCACCCCTCACCCCTCCCTCCCTCCCCATCGTGGCTTCAAACTGGACCAGGCACCTCCAATTAGGTTGATGGGATTGACCTCACTCGCACCAAAAGGCAGGCACCCTCAGTCAACAGGTACTTGTCCCAAAGGTTGGATCCATCCACATCGCCTCCACATCCACACCACACGGGAGACGAACACGCCGCCCTCAATCAATGAGGTGTGAAACTACCTGTGCCTGTACCAATTCCCCAATCCCACTATCTCAATCAACCCATGTTCACACATTGAGATCCAGACAGGCACGCTCACTACTCCTCACTCGCGCACCACTCCAAGAAAGCTAGGACCCGGAGCCCAGACCCAGACCGCAGCAAAACTTCAAAGGGATGCCCTTCAACTAATTGCTGAGTATTTCCCGTCATAACCTCCAAACACCCTCCCAACCTTCCCTTGATCATTTATCCAACTCTTCTTTAACCTGCCATCTGCCACTCTCTCCTTCTCCCCCGCAACTTCACGTCAAGGACCAATCTTGCAGGGCAGTCTTCTCGTTTCCTTTTCTCTTGTCCTTCATAGAACACCAATTGCTCTCGGAGAATCGGACATATAGCTCTAGACGTCCTCCCAACCACTGCAGACCACACCCACACCCACACATCCGCCCTCACCGCCGCCCACATCTCCCCCGTCATCCCGGAGCATCTTGAAATAGCTGCCTCCTGCTCTTCGCTGAGTACACGGAGTCACAGACAGGTAAGTCAATTCTGTTTTCAACGCCCCCATTGGCGCTGTGGCGGAGCGATAACACATGAGAAAACTTGCCCAAGAATGTCTCGGCTAACAAACGTGGCGATTTAAGCTCCATTCGTAGCCCACGAAAAAAAAAATTTACACCCTCTTGATACCCCCCAGCCCGCCATCACCATGTACGGCACCGGAACCGGTCCCCAGACGGGAGTCTCTACCCCCCGATCCAACGCTTCTCTGCGTCCCCTCACTCTTCGCCACGGTTCTCTCGAGACCTCCCTCCTCGTACCGACCGCTCTCCACTTCCACGCTTCGCAGTTGAAGGATCGTTTTACTGCTACTCTCCCCACCGCCACAGACGAGCTCGCTCAAGATGACGAGCCTTCTTCCGTCGCAGAGTTGGTTGCGAGATACATGGGCTTCGTCGCTGACGAGGTCGAGAAGGGCGAGGACGACGAATCGGGCTCCTACGAGGAGGTCCTGAAGCTTGTCCTTAACGAGTTCGAGCGTGGATACCTCCAGGGTAACGAGGTCCACGCCCTAGCTGCTACGTTGCCCGGCATTGATGCCAAGAAGTTGGTCGTCATCCGCAGCTACTACCAGGCCAGACAGACTACTGGTCGCTCAATCAAGGCCTATGGCTCAGCGCTCTTCCGCGCTGCCGACGATGGCTCCGCCGACATTTACACCATTTTTGGTGGCCAGGGCAACATCGAGGAGTACTTTGATGAGTTGCGCGAGATCTACAGGACATACCAGCCATTCATCGGCGAGCTTATTCTCAACGCCGCTGAACAGCTCCAGACCCTCTCCAAGCACCCCGAGGCAGAGAAGCTCTACCCCAAGGGCCTCGACATCATGAGATGGCTCGAGAGCGAAGACGAGACGCCTGATGTGGACTACCTCATCTCGGCCCCTGTCAGTTTTCCCCTGATTGGTCTCGTTCAGCTTGCGCACTACGAGGTCACCTGCAAAGTCCTCGGTGTACACCCCGGCCTGCTTCGCGAGCAGATCAGCGGTACGACTGGTCACTCCCAGGGCATCGTTCTCGCCGCTATCACGGCCGCCGCAGACTCCTGGGAGTCATGGAAGGAGCTCGCACCCTCGGCGCTCACGATCCTTTTCTGGATCGGTGCCCGCAGCCAGCAGGTGTTTCCCCGCACATCGCTGACCCCCACCATGCTGAGAGAGTCCGTGGACAACGGGGAAGGTCTTCCCACCCCCATGCTTAGCATCCGAGACCTTTCTCAGGCTGAGGTACAGAAGCACATTGATGCGACCAACAAGTACCTCCCTGCCGATCGCCATATCTCCATCTCCCTCATCAACAGCCCGCGTAACCTAGTTGTTACAGGTCCTCCCATTTCCCTGTACGGTCTTAACGCCCAGCTCCGCAAGGTGAAGGCGCCGACTGGCTTGGACCAGAACCGTATTCCTCACGGCCAACGCAAGCTCCGCTTTGTCCACCGCTTCCTCCCCATCACCGCCCCTTTCCACAGCAAGTACCTTGCTGAGGCGACGGAGCTGATTGACGAGGACCTCAAGAGCATTAAGATTTCCTCCAAGTCTCTCGGCACTGCGGTGTTCGACACCAACACCGGCAAGGACCTTCGCGAAGCTGGCGACAGCAACATTGTTCCCACCCTCATTCGTCTCATCACCAGAGACCCCGTCAACTGGGAGAAGGCTACCGTCTTTCCCCAGGCGACCCATGTCCTGGACTTCGGTCCTGGAGGCATTTCTGGTCTTGGTGTTCTCACCAGCCGCAACAAGGAGGGTACCGGCGTGCACGTCATTCTTGCTGGCTCTGTCAACGGCTCCGTTACTGAAGTTGGTTACAAGCCTGAGCTCTTTGACCGTGATGAAGAGCACGCCGTCAAGTATGCCGTCGACTGGGTGAAGGAGTTTGGTCCCCGTCTTGTTACCACGTCCAACGGTGACACGTACGTCGACACCAAGATGAGCAGACTCTTGGGTCTCCCTCCCATTGTTGTCGCTGGTATGACGCCCTGCACCGTCCCTTGGGACTTCGTTGCGGCGACCATGAATGCTGGTTACCACATTGAGTTGGCCGGTGGTGGCTACTTCGACCCTGGTATGATGACCGCTGCTCTGAGGAAGATCGAGGGTGCTATCCCTGCTGGACGTGGTATTGGCGTCAACCTTATCTACGTTAACCCTCGCGCCATGCAGTGGCAGATTCCCATGCTCGCAAAGCTCAGGGCTGAAGGTGTTCCTATTGAGGGCCTGACCATTGGTGCTGGTGTTCCTTCCGTCGAGGTTGCCCAGGAGTACATCGACACCCTTGGCCTGAAGCACATCAGCTTTAAGCCTGGTTCTGTTGATGCGATCCAGTCTGTCATCAATATCGCCAAGGCCAACCCTACATTCCCTGTTATTCTGCAGTGGACTGGTGGTCGTGGTGGCGGTCACCACTCGTACGAGGACTTCCACCAGCCCGTCCTGACCATGTACCCACGTATCCGTCGCCAGGCGAACATCATTCTCGTTGCCGGCAGTGGTTTCGGTGGTGCCGAGGACACATACCCGTACCTTACGGGCGAGTGGTCGAAGAACTACGGCTATCCTCCCATGCCCTTCGATGGCACTCTATTTGGCAGCCGTATGATGGTCGCCAAGGAGGCCTATACCAGCCCTGCTGCCAAGCAGGCTATCATCGACGCTCCTGGTGTTGAGGATAGCGAATGGGAAAAGTCCTACACGGGCCCTACTGGTGGTATCATTACCGTTCTCTCAGAAATGGGCGAGCCCATCCACAAGCTCGCTACTCGCGGCGTTCTCTTCTGGGCTGAGATGGACAAGAAGATCTTCTCCCTCCCCAAGGAGAAGCGTGTCGCTGAGTTGAAGAAGAACCGTGATTATATCATCAAGAAGCTTAATGACGATTTCCAGAAGGTCTGGTTCGGTCGCAACCGTGCTGGCGAGGCGGTCGATCTCGAGGACATGACCTATGGTGAGATTGTCCGCCGCATGGTGGACCTGCTTTACATTCGTCACGAGCAACGCTGGATTGATCCCACTTTCATCAGACTCACTGGTGACTTCATTCGCCGTGTCGAGGAGCGCTTCACCTCCCAGCCCGGCCAGGTCGCTCAGCTTCAGGACTACAAGGACCTCCAGTCCCCTTACGAGACTGTCGAGAAGATCTTGTCTCACTACCCTGATGCTGAGACTCAGCTCATCAACGCCCAGGATGTTCAGCACTTTTTGATGCTGTGCTTGCGCCCCATTCAGAAGCCCGTGACCTTCATCCCCACTCTTGACGAGAACTTCGACTTCTACTTCAAGAAGGATTCGCTGTGGCAGTCTGAGGACCTAGGTGCGGTAATTGGTCAGGACGTCGGCCGTACCTGTATTCTTCAAGGACCTATGGCTGTCAAGTACTCGAAGGTCATTGACGAGCCCATCAAGGACATTCTTGACGGCATTCATAACACCCACGTCAAGTATTTGACCAGGGACCTTTACAATGGTAACAAGGAGGCGATCCCCACCATTGAGTACTTTGGTGGCAAGTTGATTGAGAGCGAGGTCCCCGTCGAGGATGTCGATGGTCTGACCGTCTCGTATGATGACGCCCACAAGAACACTTACCGTCTGTCGGCCTCGCCCACGGCCACTCTACCTAGCCTTGATGCTTGGCTGGCTCTGCTTGCTGGTCCCGACCGCAGCTGGCGCCATGCCCTTCTCACCTCCGAGGTTGTTGTCCAGGGCCAAAAGTTCCAGAACAACCCCATCAAGCGCATTTTTGCCCCCGCTCGTGGCCTCTTTGTCGAGATTCACAACCCCAAGGACCCGAAGAAAACCAAGATCGTCGTCAAGGAGCAGCCTCGCCACAACCAGTACGTCGATGTCATTGAGGTCCAGCTTGAAGGTCAGAACGAGATTGTCGTCAGCATGATTAAGGACACCACCGCTCTTGGCAAGCCCGTTGCGCTTCCTCTCAAGTTTACCTACCACCCGGAGGCTGGCTACGCTCCCATCCACGAGGTTATGGAGGGCCGTAATGACCGCATCAAGGAGTTCTACTGGCGTGCGTGGTTTGGTGACGAGACCTTTGACCTCGATGCCGATGTTAGCAGCAAGTTCGACGGTGGCAAGGCTACCATCACCGGCGAAGACATTAACGACTTCATCCACGCTGTTGGCAACACCGGCGAGGCCTTTGTCGAGCGCCCAGGCAAGACGGTCTACGCCCCTATGGACTTTGCCATCGTCGTCGGCTGGAAGGCTATCACGAAGCCCATCTTCCCCCGCACTATTGATGGTGACCTGCTGAAGCTGGTTCACTTGTCCAACGAGTTCCGTATGAAACCTGGTGCCGAGCCTTTGAAGAAGGGCGACGAGGTCTCCACCACTGCCCAGATCAATGCTGTTATCAACCAGGATTCCGGCAAGATGGTCGAGGTCTGCGGTACCATCTACCGGGATGGCGAAGCAGTCATGGACGTCACCTCTCAGTTCCTGTACCGCGGTGCCTACACAGACTACGAGAACACCTTCCAGCGCAAGATGGAGACCCCAATCCAGCTGCACCTGGCCACCAGCAAGGACGTCGCTGTTCTTAAGTCGAAGCAGTGGTTCAACACTGATGACCTGCCCCGCGACCTGGACCTCCTGGGACAGACGCTCACATTCCGTCTTCAGAGCTTCTACCGCTACAAGACTAAGACGATGTACAGCAGTGTCTCCACCCAGGGCCAGGTCCTCCTTGAGCTTCCCACAAAGGAGATCATCCAGGTCGCCAGCGTTGATTACGAGGCTGGCCAGTCCAACGGCAACCCTGTCGTCGATTACCTTGAGCGCAATGGTGCCCCCCTCGACCAGCCTCTGAACTTCGAAAACCCCATTCCTCTCAGCGGGCGCACCCCTCTCCAGCTCCGTGCCCCTGCGACGAACGAGAACTACGCTCGCGTCTCTGGCGACTACAACCCCATCCACGTTTCGCGCGTCTTTGCCAACTACGCCGCCTTACCCGGCACCATTACCCACGGCATGTACTCCAGTGCAGCCGTCCGTAGCTTGGTTGAGACTTGGGCTGCTGAGAACAACATTGGCCGTGTCCGCAGCTTCCACGCCTCTTTGGTCGGCATGGTTCTCCCCAACGATGACCTCCAGGTCAAGCTTCAGCACGTTGGTATGGTCTCTGGCCGCAAGATCATCAAGGTCGAGGCTAGCAACAAGGAGACCGAGGAGAAGGTCCTCCTCGGTGAGGCCGAGGTTGAGCAGCCTGTCACGGCATACGTCTTTACCGGCCAGGGTTCCCAGGAACAGGGTATGGGTATGGAATTGTACGCCAGCAGCCCCGTCGCCAAGGAGGTCTGGGACCGCGCCGACAAGTACTTGTTGGACAACTACGGTAAGCTATATACCCCTAGCTTCTCTCTAAGATCCCTAGCTAATTCTTTCCAGGCTTTTCTATCACCAACATTGTCAAGAACAACCCCAAGGAGCTCACCGTTTACTTTGGTGGTCCTCGCGGTAAGGCCATTCGCCAGAACTACATGGCCATGACCTTCGAGACCGTTGCTGCCGATGGAACCATCAAGTCGGAACGTATCTTCAAGGAGATTGACGAGAAGACCACCTCGTACACCTACCGCTCGCCCACCGGCTTGCTGTCGGCTACTCAGTTCACTCAGCCGGCCCTTACCCTCATGGAGAAGGCCAGCTTTGAGGACATGAAGTCCAAGGGCCTTGTGCCGCGCGACTGCACTTTCGCCGGTCACTCTCTGGGTGAGTACTCGGCCCTCGCTGCCTTGGCGGAGGTCATGCCCATTGAGAGTTTGGTGTCGGTTGTTTTCTACCGTGGTTTGACCATGCAGGTCGCCGTCGAGCGTGACGCGGCCGGACGCTCCAACTACTCCATGTGCGCCATCAACCCCAGCAGGATCTCCAAGACGTTCAACGAAGAGGCCCTGCAGTTCGTTGTTGACTGCATTTCGGAGGAGACGGGCTGGCTGCTTGAGATTGTCAACTACAACATCGCCAACATGCAGTACGTCGCCGCCGGTGACCTCCGCGCTCTCGACACGCTCACGGGCGTCACCAACTTCCTCAAGCAGCAGAAGATCGACATTGAGGAGATGCGCGGCAACATCGACGAGGCCAAGGGTGCTCTCAAGGAGATCATCAAGGGCAGTGCCGAGGCGACGCTCAAGAAGCCGACGCCGTTGGAGCTCCAGCGTGGTTTCGCAACGATCCCTCTCCGCGGTATCGACGTGCCTTTCCACTCGACCTTCCTCCGGTCCGGTGTCAAGCCGTTCCGGTCCTTCCTCCTCAAGAAGATCAACAAGACGACGATCGACCCCGCCAAGCTTGTTGGCAAGTACATCCCCAACGTGACGGCCAAGCCGTTCGCCATCACCAAGGAGTACTTTGAGGACGTGTACAAGCTCACCAACTCGCCCAAGATTGCGTCAATCCTGGCGAACTGGGATCAGTACACCCAAGACGGACCTGGCCCTAACGGCGTCACTGCGAGCCACGAGGGACCGGGCGCGGCCGCATAGGTTCGGCTACAGTTCAACTAGCTGCCCTAGCAGATGGATGGTGGGTAGAGAGAGAGAGAGTTACGCTGTTACGAAGAAGAAGAAGAGAGAGAGGGAGTAAGAGGGATGGATGATTGATTACGGACACTGAATGACTCTGGACGGCGTAATCATTGTACAAATTCGGAACGTATTTTTCAATGACTGTTTTACCATGTCGCGTTAGAAAGTTTTAGTGTTTAGTCTAGGGCTGGGGCGTTGATTGTTATTAGTGTGTTTTAACGGACGGCAAGAGAAGACAATAGAGAGCAATTGGTTCAATTTTGGTTCCCTCGGATGGACGTGAAAGAAAGCCGTGGCGCCATACGTTGGCTAAGAGAATATGCCCGAAGGGGCGCTGCATTGTCCGACGTACAAGCAGGGCAGCTGGCGGGTGATACGGATGACTGGTGGCTGAAAGGTGCTAGGATGCCAGAGTGAGTGTCAGCGGGGGATCTGCAAAAGGAAGCTGCAAGGACCCGAAACACAGATGGTTCTCCCGAAGGACACAGCATGGGACAGCCGGGGGGGGGATGTTTGGTTGTTGGTTCCGAGGGGTGATTTGCTAGCAATGGAAGTGAAGAAAATACTGGGGGGGCAAGGATGAACAATCAAGAGCAAAAGACAGGCAAATGAGGTAAGCAGATGGAAGGGAGCGGGTGCTCAATTACTAGCCGGTGAACAAGAAAAGAGGCCATCAACCCGGATTAGAAGGGGTTAAGAGGGATTAGTAGGAGGAATAAGGAGTTTGGGAAAACGGGCAAGAAACATGGTCGGGCGAAGCTATCGAAGCTATCCGGATCGAGCAAAGCTGACTAACGGTACCCTACCTGCCTACATAGCTCAGGTACCTAGGTAGGTAGGTAGATCGTACATAGTACCTAGGTAGGTAGGTACCTAGTGGGTAGGCGGGCAGCGGCGAGCGCCGTGTTACGTGCGACCGGCGCGCTGCGAAGTGGGGGGGTCGTGGAGTGTTTGGGATTCCCGGGCTCACATAGCCTGGAAGTCAGCGGGCAGCACGTCTTCTTAACCTGGCGGTACTATTGCATGTTTTTATCAGTGGCGGTCTCAACTGTCCAACCCGCCGCTTATGGGACGACGGCGGCGTGCCTTGACACGGTAGACGGCTTTGGCCTAACGAAATGCGGCAAGCTTCTTGCTTCCTCGGCATGCTTCTGATACTCTCCCGCTGCATACACTGCACACTAAGATTGAGATTCCCCCGCCCCAGCCCTCGTCTGATTCGTCTTATCTCTCTCTCTCTCTCTCTCTTGATGGAAGTATCCGATGATAATACCTGACTGACGGCAGCGGATGAAGTGAAGCACCTGTTTCGATGCGCGTCATATTGTCGCACTGCATATATCTAACGGCTCTTGCCTCCTTGCTTTTTCTCCTTCCCCGCCGCTCTCGCGGTCTAGTTTTCTTGGAGTTTCGGACTCTTGTGCTGGTTCGGTGATATCCATACCACCAAGTACTACCGTTTTCCCCCCTTCCCTCTTTCAACACCAACACCACCTCGTGATCTGTTCGTACGCTCCCAAGACCTAGAGTTTTGACATTCACATTGAATCCGAGTTGTACCGGTTGTCAGCAAGAGCATTGGCAACAACGTCATCTGGCCCGCCGTGGACTCTTGAAAGACGACGTGGGATCGGTCCCCCTTCCCGACTTTGCCGACGGCAACCGAGCAACGAACGAACACAATAGTGATCCCAACGTCAAGGCCAAACAGATCCGGACCGGATTATTAACCAAGGCGACGACTGCGACGACGAAGACGATTCGTTCACCAACACCAACAAAAGCGGTATTCTCGGCCAATCTCAACAACAACATCAACGGGACGCTGCAACATTGCCAACAATGGGCGATATGATTAGAGACCTGCCCGCCGCGGCTTCGTCATCGTCGCCGACAACGCGACGTAACCAGCTCTTCCTCGGCACCTTTGTGCACTCCAAGACGAGGGAGGCGCTCGAATACCTCCACAACACGGCTGTTTGCGTCGACGCATCATCCGGCACCATTGTCGCTGTCGAGGTGGGATACGACTTGAGGAGGTCCGAGGCCGAGCTGCTCCCCCGCCTGGGGTGGAAGGTCGGTGATGTCGAGGTTCGTGTGGGGGAGGAGGGGCAGTTCTTCTTCCCCGGCTTTATCGGTAGGCCGCCATGTTTTCTTTTCTTTTCTTCTTTTCTTTTTTTCCTTCTTCCCTCTCTCAATGCTGCCCTCCCTACGTCTGCCCGGAGTCAGGTGAGACAACGGGCTACAAAACCTTTGCGAGACATGCACGCGTTTGTCTCGTGGACAATCAAATCCTACCCCCCGCAACCTTGAGGCTAACGTTACCGTCACCGCAGACACCCACGTGCACGCTTCGCAATACCCCAATGTCGGCATCTTTGGAAAGTCCACCCTTCTCGACTGGCTCAACACGTATACCTTCCCGCTCGAGGCCAGCCTCAAGGACCAGAAGAAGGCCAAGCGCGTATACACAGCCTGCGTGCGCCGCACCCTCGCCCACGGCACTACCACCTCGGCGTACTACGCCACTATCGATGTCGACGCCACCAATCTTCTGGCAGACATCTGTTTGGCACTAGGCCAACGCGCATTTATCGGGCGGGTGTGCATGGACCGCGAGGGCTTGTGTCCTGAGTACTACAAAGATGAGTCGCCACAAGATTCGTTGAGAAAGACGAGGGAGACTGTGGACTACATACGGACCATCGACCCGGGTTTCGAAATCGTCGCGCCCATTCTGACGCCGAGGTTCGCACCGTCGTGCTCGAGCGAGGCGATGAGGGGGCTGGCGAGCATGCAGAAAGAGCTCGACGTCCTCGTGCAGACGCACATCTCGGAGAACGAGGGCGAGATCGAGCTCGTCAAGGAGCTCTTCCCCGAGAGCACGAGCTACGCCGACGTCTACGACGCCCACGGCCTGCTGGGGGAGAAGACCGTGCTCGCGCACGCGATCCACCTGTCTGAGGAGGAGGCGGCCACCATCGCCGAGAGGGGCGCCAAGGTGTCACACTGCCCGTGCAGCAACAGCAGCATCACGAGCGGCGCGGCGCGGGTGCGCTGGCTCTGGGACAAGGGCATCGACGTCGGCCTGGGGACGGACATGAGCGGCGGGTACAGCCCGAGCATCCTCGACGCCGCCAGGCAGGCGGCGCTGGTGTCGCGGCACGTGGCCATGGGGCTGCGCGGTCAGGAGCGGGAGAGGGCCAAGCTGACGGTCGAGGAGGTGTTGTACCTCGCGACCAGGGGCGGCTCCAAAGTCGTCGGGCTGCAGGCCAAGGTCGGCGGGTTCGAGGTCGGCATGCAGTGGGACGCGCAGCTGATCGGGTTGCCGCTGGTCGACGAGGACGGCGGGCGCGGCGGGGAGGGGGGCAACGTCGACATATTTGGGTGGGAGAGCTGGGAGGACCGGGTCGCCAAGTGGCTCTTCAACGGCGACGACCGGAACACCAAGGCGGTCTGGGTCAAGGGACGGATGGTGCATTCGAGGACATGAGGATGCCCGAGCAACATGTATCGGTGAGAGAGACGCGCTCCGCAATAGACGGACTTGACGCGAGAGACGGGATGCATTAGGCCGGCGTTCATTGGGACTTTGTTTTGCTGTTACAATATGAGGATAAATGCGTTGAGTCACTTGTTGTCAGCCAGCATCTGCCCCTTAGGCTTCTCATGAACGATCCTTCACTCAAATATCATATTGAATTACGTGTCCAAGGTGCGACATATATGATCTGTCGCGATCCCAGTACTACGCCTACGTCTTATCGGACGAAACAATACATGACCTGTTGTCTTTGAAACAACAATACGTTAGAAACACACAGTTTATTTCTAAGCCCTTGCACTTTAGCAAAGAGCAGTTTCTGATGTACGGTACAGCCCGTGACTAGTTCCTTGCATAGATCAAAGACCAATTGAGAACAACCAATCGTTTTCAAGATCGAATGGAAACACTCATCTTACGACGGGCATGTGAGCCGTTCAACACGGAGCTTGACCTTGAGGAACGACATCGCTTCATACAAATTTTACTCAAGAGACGCCCGGTACTCGATCATAATTTCTCAAGCTCAGGGATTGACTTGAGCTCTTGTGTGGACTTGGATGGCTTCATGCAGGCTTGGCATATCTTTTTATGCGAGACTTGTGCGTGCGTCCACTCGCCGAGACTATACCACTAACAACAAGATGTATAAAAAGCATTGTTGGCAGGCTGTTAAGATGATTGAAAGTTTTGCTTAGGCGAGTGTACTGCGTATGCCCAAATCACAAAAGGTTCTTGTGGACCTTGTCACGATGGACCAACCGTTTGCTGCGGCGATGTATTTCGAAGCAAACTCTCTGTTCGAATTGTGATATATCGCCCACCTGATTTCTAGCAGTCCATCATTTCGCCACTGATTTCGAGGTCCGCAAGGCGGCTGTTCTGAGCCTTGGTCAAGAGCGCTTCTGGTCTCTTGCAGTGAAGCAGTTCATCCCCTGAGCTCGGAATATATTGAAAAGTTATATCGAAAGGCAGCATAGGCGTTCTAGAGCTGCTAAGACGAGCTGAAGACTGCGGGCGATGGGTATCTGACCAGCCTGGTGAAGCCTTGGCAGGGATCGAAGGCGGTGGGCCCCGAGTTGATACGAATAGAAAATATTGGGGGAATCGAAAGCTATGAATCTGTTTTAAGACGATTTGATCACAAATAATATGATTTATGTAGCCTTTTAAGCAAACTAATGCCATCTTGGACATATTACGGGGATCAAGCTAGGCAGAAGCTCGAACCTAAGCCCAGACTTGTCGGGATACTTCAGCGGGAGAATGAGACGACCAGCTGTCGTACTGACACATGAATCAATATATTCTAAGTTATGGCTCTAAACTATAGTAACAGAACATATGGTTGTCATTTTTATAGATAGCGAGATAGCAAAATAGTTGAATAAGGCAGTTAGAGCCAGCCAGCTAACGGTGGGTTCGTTGTGTACCTGTGCAACCTTACGGGGGGCTGCCTTAAATAAGTGCCCTTAGTACTGACACATACGCAATTCGTTAAATACACAGACTTTGTTATACTGTAAAACGGATAGCAATTGTAGCGAAGAGGATGCGCGGCAGTACTGTGGCCAGCCGGCCGGCCCCCCGGACATACAGCCCGCTGGACGGTGGAGACCGGTAGTCCCACCGGGTCCGACATTATCGGCCTTGGACGGTAATAGCGGGCCCGTGATTGGCTGAGCTTCTTTTTCCCGACGCCAAGGGAACTGCCCGACCTGGAACTGATGTGAGCCGGTATATGGGGAAAGCCTTTCCTCTTGGCTCGACGGCCGCATGTGGCTCCGGCTCAGACGCCTCCGTGGTTGTTCAACAGCCCAACAGTATAAGCGCCAGATACTTCGAATACCTTGAAGCCAGTGTCTCCATACAGTTTCATCACATGTATTTGAGAAATATTGCGATGACACACTGAGTTTTACGTGAAAATGTTGTACATTGGTATCATTGATATCGTGATTGCACTTAAAGCTCACGCCTTACACCATTCCATGATCATATCATTTCTGCATTGAGACTACAATGGTGTTGAAAATCCATTACCACATCGATTAGAGATTCTCGGGTTCAAGCTGCTCTGGAGGAACTGCGGCAACGCGACGACCGCCCTTGGCGCGTCGGTCCGCTTCGAGGGACTGAGCAAACTTAGACCTCTCTCGAATGACGGGTCCCTTCCAGTAGATTATGTATACCGGAATCGTGACCACGAGAGCAAGGCAAGCCAGTACGGTGCTCGCATACTCAGTATGGCGCGAATCGCCAATGTTCTCGTAGAGAGGGGCCGCATACATGGCGGCAATGCCGGCGAGAAAGTCTCGAGCAAACCCGTTTCCGCCAGTAGCAGAAGCAGAGTACGGACCGTAACTCGCTACCATATAATCGATTGTGCTCATGTAAATGCCAAAGTTGGCGATGGCAATTAGGCACGAGAAAATCATGGGGGCGATCCAGTGAGACTCGGGAGGTTCAATTGAGGTCCAGGCAAACCCGAACAGGCCGATCGTCTCGAGGGGAGCGAGGTACAACAGCCACTGTAGACGATACTCGGGTGCCAGCGCGTCAGGCCCCTTTGCTCGGGTGACGCGGTGGTCTCTGATGATCCAAGGGATATAGGAGATGTACGCCAGCAAATACCCAATGTTGATGGGGATGAAGGCCCACGCCTTTTCAAGAGTCCCAAAACCCCACTTGTTGAAGACCGGAGCGAACCCTTCTTGGAAGGTGAAAATCAGGGCGTCGGAGAATCCCGATAGCAGCGAGCACGATAGGACAATGGGTTCCCGGACGAACATCTCGAAGGGGCGGATCCAGGTGATGGCGAACTCGTGCATGGAGAGCCGGGGCTTCTTGACCTCGTTAGGCCCGTAGACGTTGGTGTCCTCGCCAGATTTGCGGCGCCGTTTGGCCTCTCGGTCCATGATGATGGTGGTGCGGCTCTCGGGCATGAAGAAATGGATGGACTGGACGACGACGCCGAAGATGAGCTGGATCCAGAAATTCCAGTACCAAGGGAGGAACTTCTGGATCGGACCGCCGACCACAGGGCCGACCGAGGTTCCGAACACGGAAGACAGCACGACGAAGAGGACGGCCCATTGCTGTTCCTCCGGTTGGTAGAGATCGGCAACCATTCCGATGGTGACGCTGCCACCGGCTGAGCTGAGCCCGCCCTGAGGGTAATGTTAGCTTCATTGCGGTCATGAGGGGGGGCTTGGTCACCACAAACCAGTCCTCGAGCCACGATAATGCTTCCAAAGTTAGGGGCTAAAGCAGCAAGGATTTGCCATATGTTCACCAAGAACAGAGAGCATCTACAACAGTCAATCAGCCATGGTCCAGCACAGGTGCGATCACGAAAACTCACTGCAAGATCCTCCACCTTCCAAACTCCTCGCTCCAAGGCGCCCAAAGCTCGCAACCGAACGCATAGGCAACCAGAAAGGCACACTGGCCAGCACGAGCAGCCTGCTCGCTGACACGGAAAGCCTCGCTGATGGGAGTGACGGCGCTCGGGAACACACTGGTGTTGAAGTTCATCGAGACCTGGACGGCGAAGATGGAGGAGAGGAGCATCCACTTCTTCCATGTCGGCCAGGAGTAGCCCAGGATATGGTCGCATTCGTCTTCGGTGATGATTCGCTTCCCATCCGGGGTATACTCTGGTTGCTTACGGCTGTTCGCGGCCGCTAGGTCCTCGTCGTGGCTCCTGGTACCCTCGGCCTCCTCGTCCCGGCCGGGTCCGTCCACAAAGAAGCCACCGTCCGACCCATCCCCGGACTTCTCTGCGTTTGGTCTTTGATGCTTCTCGGCATCGAAACTCGGTTCGACACGGGTCAGGCTGCTTTCTCGAGTCGGGGCCTTGTCTTCATTGTTAGACGGCCGGGAAGCCCGTGCACTATCGGAAGCCGGCACGGAAGCCATGCTGACGGGCTGCCTTGAAAGGATAGCTCTGAGGGGCACCGTGATGTAACCGAGAGTTAATGTAAATGTCCGATAATTAACGACAACGCCAAAGTTGCGCTGGCTCTGCGTCCCGATTTGACTTGATCAGTCAATGGCCGAAACCCCACAGACAAGAAAAATATCAAAGGAAAAGTGGTTGGTCCAATATTCCAGACCCTCCGAACTAGCTAGCCAACGGCGTCTTTATCAATCTCCATGACTTCTTCAATTCCACCGAGGGGTTTTTTTACGTCAAACTGGAGACATGACGCTATTTAGCCAAGACGTTGCCCGCGGCCCTACCTCTGCGACTAGCGCTGGGAAAAGAAAAAAGATGGCCCCCTCCAAAAGTGGTACAACGGACCGTTAATTCTTGAGTTGACTCTGACCATCCTCCGTGTGTAATTCGACATATCTAATTCAGTGGAGCAGGAACAGCGGGAAACTCAAGAATCATTTCCCTTTTTCACTGTAGACGAGATAACTACAAGGCGGCCCCCCCCGTAGCGTCACACAGGTAGACAACAGCCATAAACACAGTGAAAGTAACATGACGGAGACGAGATAACAAGCATCGTCCGCACCACGACTGCGGCTTGACATCATATGGTGTGGGCTCTTTGGAATTGCGGGTCGGCGGTGGAACAATGACGGAAAGCGTGGAACCGATGGCCTGGCGAGCAACGCAGTTCATCCCCGATTATCAAAGTTGCCGGCCGAGGTGGGCCTTTTTTTTTTTTTTTTTGGTCGAAAATTGCCTTTCCAAAATTTGAAAAGTGCGCGTGGAAAAGGCGATATTCTACTACGCCTTGTGGCGAGGGAAAGGTATCTCACCCTATAATACTGCTCCATTCTCGGTGACGGAATGGGTAGCGGTAACTCTTGGTAGGCTCTTTCAGTATCCAACTGGCGATCATACGCAAAATTGAAGTCAGGCTTATGATACGGCGGGGTTAGAATACTCACTGGAGCAGCTCCATCGGGACTTCTTTAAGTCGAGGGCACCAACCAACGTCCCTATTTCGCCCTTCCAGGCTGGATAATATGATTTTGGATGCCGCCATCTGCAGATGCTGGCTGCTCTAACGGGTGAGCGACATGACAAGCTAGCGCTCATTGCTGATTTCTCAAAACAAGAAATGTGGGAGCGCGTGGAATAAGATCTTAGATGCATACGCTAATTTGTCAGAGAAAATCTGCTTGACCTGCCATGCTCAACTGTATTATTCGGTGCTTAGAAACCAACCTGATTGTCTCGTTGCTTCCAATTGACATCAGGAAATGTATGCGTTGTACCGGCTTCCCTTGCTTCAGCAAGATAGGGCTAAAAAGCCGGTTGTTGATGTGCGGGCGTGTGTGGTAATGATAGGAGGCGGCGAGCCTAACCAGGCATTTGGACATGTATAAGAATACTGACGAACTCACAAAATTCAAAGAAGTCAAACCACAAAGGACATACTCGTCATACATCATTAAGCAAAGGGGCCAAGCAACTCATGGTTTTGTCATTCATTAATTTGGGCTGTGACGGCAAAGTACGGGTCTTCAAAGTTTGAATGAATTGGGTCATTTCGAATCCTTCATAAATGAATTGGAACCTCGATGTGCTCTTCTGTTCCAAGTAAACAATCCTGAGAGCTGTGGAAGTTGACTTGACATGGAGTTTATGACTTAGGGACTGTCGAGGAAATTATGGCTTGTGCCAACACTTGGCAAATGAGTGTATCCACGTATGTTGGACTAATTTCATGCGACACTGCCTAGGATTGGGGTCACTCCCCTCTAGAAAAAGAAAAAGGCCACACTACTGGACAGACATGATGAAAGGATGAAGATGTTGGGCCGCAACAAGGCGTTTTCGTAAGGGGGTCGAGGACTGACGTGAGGTGGGTAGCAATGAGAGGAGCAGTTCCCGTGGCGTCTCCGCAACAGCTCCCAAGTACGACTAGGCAGAAGAATAAAGAATTTCGAGTTTATCGACTAGCTGGCCGCGCTATTTGACACATAATCAAGCGCATGTCTGAGACTGAACAGGGCTTATATGGGATACGCAGAGAGTTATTGGTTCTTGGGCGTTTTCCAGTTGGCTAGGCCGATTCATTGGCTGCTCATAATAGAAATCTGACGGCTGACACGCACCTGAATTGTGCATGGTGCGCATCGGCGATGTCAGACGGACGTTTGAATCCTTCTCAACAGCCGACCTAGGATATACCCGCGTTTGCCGAACCACACCTTGGAATTGATTGGTACTCTAAGGCGGACCAGATAATGTGACCTAAAGCAATTTCCATTGGTAGATCTAAAACACCCTTAACGTTATCCCATTCCTCTCGTCGTATACTATGCAAGGCATACTCACCATCAGGGTGATAGCAAAGTTGGCATGTTACCTGAGTGTTGAATTTCAGGTGACAGTCATATCCACAAGGTAAATCTGCGCCGATGGTTTAGTGGTAAAATTCTCCGTTGCCATCCAGCAGCGTCGGGGAGCCGGGGGTTCGATTCCCCCTCGGCGCAAGTCTTTTGCTTTGACTCGCAAGTGTTTTCTGTTTTCTATCTATTTTCCATTTTCTTCTCTTTTTCGTGTGACACGTCCCAGTGAAACTTCTTCTCTGAGGCATACTTTATTTTATTTCTTCCTTGACCCCTGTCAGGGTCAATCGGTACAGGGGTTGCATCCCATTACCGGTAGCGTACTTTTCTATATGATGAGCCTGCTACAATCTTGCTACGGAGTCCTCTGTCAAAAGGTGTTTTAGAACCTTGCCTGACCCTGTCCGAGGGAATTGTTCAACAAGAATAATCTCTCTTGGCACCTTATACCGAGCAATTCGTGAACGGCAATGCTCGATCATGTCTTCATGGGTAAGCTGAGTGCCGGGCGCCGCAATTATGAATGCGCGCCCGGCTTCGCCCCAGAGCTGATCCGGCACACCGATAACTGCAGCATCGACCACGCCAGGGTGCTCAACCATCGCGGCCTCAATTTCTGCAGGATACACGTTTTCTCCCCCCGAGATGAACATGTTCTTACGTCTGTCAATCAAAAAGACGTACCCGTCCTCGTCGACCCGCCCAATGTCACCAGAGCGGAACCACCCATCTCTCGTGAACGCAGTAAGGTTCTCTTCTGGCCGATTCCAATACCCCGGAGTGACGCTCGGACCAGACACAATGATCTCCCCCGGTGCGCCGACTGGAACATCCTTGTCACGTTCGTCTACCACCCGGACAGCCGTCAACGGGCCCGGGAGGCCCACAGAGCCCGCCTTGACGTCGATGAGCTCCGGGGACAGCGGCATGCCAGAGACTGTGCCCATTTCGGTCGAACCATACCCATCGACCATGCGGATTCCACGGCTCAGCCACCATTTGATACGAGCTGGGGGGTTGGGGGCTCCGCCCGTAAAAAGCGCCTTGAGAGTGGACCACTCTGACGTGTTGAAATTGGGTGCGCGAGCAAGGGCCTCGGCCATTTGAGGTACGCAAAAGTAATGCGTAACGTGCAGACATGCATCGCCGAGACGAGCATTGGTGAGGTCGGAATTGAACTTGGGAGACACAATGATTGTACCGCCTCGCATTAGACATGGCCAGATTTGAGCAATGAGACCCATGAAATGGAACATGGGCCCGTCGCAGAGGAAGACGCTCCCGGTGTCGACCTCTGTCAGAATGCTGAAGTTGACTGTCGTAGCCAGCCAAGATACACCGGGCATTCAATGTGACACCTTTGGGTGCCCCGGACGTCCCCGACGTGTAGAGAATAACGCACGTCTCGTCCGCGAGCCTTGCATCCAAGCGAGGCGCGTATTCTGCAGCATCCACAGCTGCAATCAAATTCGAAAAGCTAATGTGCTGGCAGCCGAGAGGCATTTCTGGTGGGTCGAGATCCGTGAAGAGAATGGCCGGGGCGCAATCGACCAACAGCTTTGTGAGTTCGGCTCGAGCAAGACGCCAGTTGAGTGGAACGAAGATCGCTCCCAGCCTCATGAGGGCTTGCTGCACAATGATCTGATGGACGTTGTTGGCTGAGATGGTCGCCACTCTATCGCCGGTCTGAACCCCTTGTCCGCACAATACGGAGGCCGCGCGCTGAATGTCGGCATCGAGTTCCAAATACGTCCATCTGCGGTTGGTTGCCAGGTCGATGCAGGCCAGACCGGTCGGCCGTAAACGTGCATGAAGCAGCACTGGGTCCGGAGTGAGAAGATCCATTAGTACCCGTTCGAAGAAGTTGGGTGATTGGATTTCGAGGCGGGGGGGGGGATGATGAGAGCCGCGTTGGAGCTAGAGATCTTATTGAATTTGAATCCTCTCGCAATGTTGCACCGTTGTCCCCGAGACGAATGCGGGAGGGAGCAGCCGCTGTCGATCTGTGGCTGCTCAACAACCCCCGTTGGCCGTGATGATATTCTATCGAAGCCCAAGCCCCCAGCCAAGGCCTTTTGTTGGTTGGATACGAAACATTGCTAATTTGGAAAGGAGAGAATGTACGAGGGAGGAGGCGTGAAACTTTATTTGCGGCGTTCAAACAAGTCGTTGAACAGAGTAAGCCGCACACGTTCGTCACCTTCGCGCCGGCAGGACTCGGCCCTTTTTCCATTTCCAGCTGTCCATCTCCAGTTTCTGAAATCGCTAATGTACCACTAATACGCTCGAGTAGTGTGTGACGCGTGAAGAAGGATGTGTCAACGTCGGTTGACGAGTAGAATTCAAGTGTCCTGGTATGCAGGCGGCAATTGGTGTGTGTGGGGGAGACAACCAACAAGCTGCTGCGCCGTGAGACCTTGAATCCTACGCATCCTTCCGTGTGTGTAGGCAGTCATCCCAAATCAGGTTACTAGATGCATGGTTTCACCGGCTCTGGCAATGAACTGATGCATCTTATGGCACTAGCACCAAGTATGAACATGTAAATCGTGTTCTCGGCCGACCAGCGAGAAAGCCTTGGGGTCCTCAGCTGGGTTCTGGGCAAACACCTTGAACACTCACCGGGATTCCGCACATCCACATCCGAGCCCCCCTCCATCTTACCTCAGCCACCGGATTTCGAGCTCGATACAGTAAAGCCCATTGATTCATCGCGGCATTGCTGCTGCATCCTACAGGAAATTCTTTTCTCGGCCTGGCGGCTGGGTCTACCTGCTGTCCTAGAAGGATATTTTAGGTGCGGTATTAGGCAGCTGACAGTAGACGGTCTAAATGCAATCTGATTTGATATGAACACCACGGTCTAGGTGCCAGCTGCAGTGCGTCTATCTAGACGCTAGCGGAACGACGGGGAGTCACTGGCTCGTCTACCTCTGTTTGTAATAGTGACGAGTGAGTACGTTGCATGCGGACTGTTATAAGGCAGCAACCTGTCACCCTTTAAATAAGTTCGATATGGCTCATAAGCTCGAACCATTCTTTTCCAAAGCAAGTATAAGCCCGGACTCATCCAGAAGGCTACATAGAACTCGAACAAGTTAAGAGACAACCCCATTGTCAGTCATAATGTATAACGATACCACTCACGACATGTACAGTGCTTGCAATGGCAAAGTTCACTCGGATTCATACGAGCCTATTGCTATCATAGGCATGGGAATGCGGCTTCCGGGTCACGTCCACAATGCCACCGACTACTGGGACCTTCTTGTCAAGGGCAAGAGCGGTCGCTGCCCCGTACCCAAAAGCCGCTACAACGTCAACAACTGGTATGGGCCAGGAAGAGTGTCCCACGTTCCAACCAAGTTTGGATACTTTCTCGAAGAGTTGAACCTGGCACACGTTGACCCAAGCTTTTGGTCGTTCACGAAACAAGAGGCCGAGCTCATGGATCCGCGGCAACGCTTGTTTCTCGAGGTGGCTTACGAAGCTTTGGAGAATTCCGGCTCAAAATCATGGAAAGGCAATGATGTTGGGGTATATGTCGGCACTATGGGGGACGACTGGGCTACACTCGAGTCCCGCGACGAACGGAACCTGAACCCTATCCGACCGGACGTGTTTGGTGACTACATCCTGGCTAACAGGGCATCTTACGAGTTCGATCTGACGGGCCCAAGGTATGTTTTCTTTTTGCTTCCTAACATTGTTGACTAAGACGAAGCAAGCGTTGTTGTGCGGACTGCTTGCTCCGCATCTCTAGTCGCACTCCATCAAGCCTGTCAAGATCTGCATAGTGCCGACTGCTCCTCTGCACTTGTCGGGGGTGTCAACCTCATCCTTACGCCTAAAGACACTGCCTCCATGCATCAAAACGGAGTCCTATCACCTTCAGGATCTTGCAAAAGCTTTGATGCAGATGCCGACGGGTTTGCGAGGGGCGAAGGAGTATCCGCAATTTATATCAAAAGATTATCTGATGCAGTGAGAGACGGCGATCCGATCCGCTCTGTGATTCGCTCCACATGCACCGCCGGAAATGGTCGAACTCTTGGGCTGACGACACCGAACCCCGAGCTCCATGAACGGCTGATGAGGAGGGGCCACAGGTTGGCTGGCATCACAGATTTGTCGAAAACTGCCATGGTAGAATGTCACGGCACTGGCACACCTGTGAGTCACAGTAAATCAATGGAAATGTCTTGTATCTTGCGGTGCTAACGGAGATTCCTGTAATAGGTAGGGGATCCTCTGGAAGTGAGTGCTGTTGCCAACATCTGGGGCGAGAATGGTATTTATATCGGATCGGTACGCGCCACTGTAATGATGTGCAATCTCTTGACCAAGACTAACACCAAGTGTCAGGTGAAACCAAACATTGGGCATGGTGAAGGAGCTGCAGGCCTATCAAGTGTCATCAAGATGGTGCTGGCATTGGAAAACTCAACTATTCCACCAAATATCAACTTCAAAGCACCCAATCCAAGAAGTGAGCCACTACTAGCATGCTATCTGTTTCTGCTCACAAAGTACTAATTGTGAATCTAGTCCCCTGGGAAAGCGCCAAGCTGAAAGTTCCGACAGAGCCTCTGCGCTGGCCAACAGACAGATGTGAAAGGGTTTCGGTCAACGGCTTTGGAATTGGCGGTTCCAATGCTCACGTGAGTGTTGACGCCAGAATTAGTCTTGCGGCGCTAATTTTCTACCAGGTCTTGCTTGAATCTACTGCATGCTTTGGTCTGCCTTCGATCAAGATTCTCAACAAATCAAACACCGAGACTCCCTATCACCGCTTGCTCGCTTTCTCGGCCAAACACCCTGACTCTGTCAAAAGCCTGACAAACAAGGTTGAGAATTACCTGAACCAGTCATCAGGGAGTCTGAACAATGTTGCATATTCACTGGCTGCGCGTCGCGAGATCCACACATATCGCGCATTCTGCGTGACTGATGGTAAAAGTGCACTGCAGATTTCCCCAGTTATCAAAAGAAAGTGCTCAACGCCCGAAGTCATTTGGGTATTCACGGGCCAAGGAGCACAATGGGCGCAGATGGGCAAAGAACTTATCGAACAAGAGCCCCTGTTCGGAGAACGGATCGGCAGTCTTGATAAAATCCTTGCTGGACTATCCGAACCTCCGTCTTGGACGATAAAAGGTATTAGGGGCCTCCCTGAACCAACATGATCGAATGTTGCATTGACAACCATACAGAACTGCTTGTAGCCCCGGAAGACGAGAGTCGCCTCTCCGAGGCCGAGTTCTCCCAGCCATGTCTTCTCGCCATACAAGTCGCTCTTGTCGACTTGCTTCGGTCATGGGGTGTTGTTCCGAGCGCCGTAGTTGGGCACTCTTCGGGTGAAACCGCTGCCGCTTATGCAAGTGGTGCCATCACGGCCGAAGAGGCCATACTCATCGCGTATCACCGAGGTCAAATCACCCGCCTCATCAAGGCTACGCACAATGGCAGTATGGCTGCTGTTGGCCTCGGCCGAAACCAAGTCGAGCAGTTTCTGCGGCCGGGAGTCATTGTAGGGTGCGAAAATTCGCCTTTCAACGTGACTCTGTCAGGTGAGAAAGACGTTTTACAAGACGTCCTGCTCAATATTCGACTGAAGAACCCGGAAGTGCTTGCGCGAGCCCTCCGGGTTGAGTGTGGTTATCATTCTCGTAAGCCCAACCCCTCTTACCCTATGCCAAACGCTCAAAAAATAACAACTCGTAGATCACATGCAAACAGCAGCGGAGGATTTCACGTCACTCTTGGAAGGGTTGTTACAGAACAAGAGGCCATGCGTCCCGTTTTACTCCTCTGTAACCGGGGTCAAGAACACAGATATGTCCCACTCATACTGGGTAAATAACGTCTTGTCTCCCGTTCTGTTCAGCACGGCAGTACGATCGGTCCTGGACGATTTCACGTCACCAGTTTTTGTCGAAATCGGCCCGCACTCCGCTCTCGCTGGGCCGATACGTCAGATTCTGCAGTTCGAGAGTAGAACGGCTCAGTATATCCCGACATTGGTGCGCAGCCAAGACGCAATGTCGGCTCTTCTAAAGACAGCCGGGGAGCTCTGGTTAGCTGGCACGACCATCGATATTGCTGTAGTTAACCCCCCAGGCCAGTTTCTGACCGACCTTCCGACGTACCCTTGGCACTACGACAAAGAGTATTGGCTCGAGAGTAGGCTCTCCCGCAGTTGGCGTTTCAGGAAGTTCCCTCATCACGAACTTCTTGGCTCTCGAGTCGAAGAGATCTCGGACGCGCTCCCTTCTTGGAGATGTAATATGCGTCTCGAGGACGTCTCGTGGTTACGGGACCATGTCGTCAGAGATCAGACAATTTTTCCTGCTTCGGGGTTCATTTCAATGATTGGAGAGGCTTTGAGGCAGCTCACAGGCTCTGGCGAGTTCACGCTCAGTCATGTGTCGTTCGAGGCCGCTCTGGTGCTTGATGATCGGCCGGTTGAGCTGGTGACGGTCCTTCACCCGGCGAGATCGAGAAACTCAGGCCCACAGACTTGGTACGACTTTTCAATATCTTCGCTCGGTGAAGCAAACGGACACTGGGTGAAACATGTTTCCGGCCAATGCAGAGCGGGCTCAGGAAAGAAGCGCCTCCCTCCGCAAATGTCTAGCCTGCCACGCCAAGTCTCGGCATCTTCGTTCTACAATACCTGGAAGAGATTTGGTCTGAACTATGGCAGCAGCTTCCGCGGTATTTCTGGCATCACCTCGCACGTCACTGAACCTAGAGCCGTTGCAACGCTCGATGATAGGCATTCTGGTTACAACAGTGCAGTTTATTCTGTTCATCCGGCAACTATTGACACGAGCATGCATGTGGCCATGGTCGCCAGCTGCAAAGGTCTTGAAAGAAATTTCAGGCAATTGGCAGTGCCGACTTACCTCCAGGAGATGTTTGTCGGAAAATCTACCGGCCCAATTCAGGTTGTCGCCAGCGCTGAGAGTCTACACGAGGCTGTTCCTGTATCCAAGGTCGTCGGCGTGTCCGAAGGGCAGGTCGTCATTGACATCTCTGGGTTGCAAGTCAGAGCCCTCGAGAATAGCCACAGCAACGAGGAGGACCCCCACGCCGGGGCCGTCCTCGAATGGAAGCCCGATATCGACTTCGTCAGCCCCTCGCAACTATTGCACCAGCGACAAACGGATGTAGACTCCCATGTCCTAGATAGGATGGTGCTGGCCTGTATCGTCGATCTTAGGGCTCAGATCCAGTTTCTCCCTGCTACACAACCCCATTTAGTCAAGTTCAAAAATTGGCTTGACGCCTCATACAGGGAGGCTATGACTGGACAATACCCTGGAGTCATTAATCCACTTGAAATCGCGACAATGAGCCACAAAGTTCGACATGCATTTATAGTCAAGATGCTCGAAGTTTGTAAGGGCACTGTCCTCTTCGATATCGCTCTCGCAGTCTATCGGGTTCATATCTATGGCGCAGGTTGCTTCTCGGGCTCCTCGCACGCAGTCAAGACACTAGCGCAGCCTGAGCATCTCACCGGTTTCCTTAGGTTCATTGACGACGTAGACTTTTCCAGTCTCCTTCAACTTCTAGGACATAAAAATCCAAACATGAGCATCTTACACATCGATCCCGCGGCAGAGACTACCGACATATCATCGGCCTTTTCATCTCCGGACGGCGAGCGTACCTATGGTACCTACACCTATACCGGTGTCTCCATAAAGCCAGCAAAATTCATCGAGACACGGTTTGAATCGTCATCAGCAGTCAAATACAGACAACTGGCGATAGAAGAAGATCCTATTCCTCAGGGCTTCGCCGAAGAGTCATTCGATCTCATCATCTCTCAACGAACCATAGCCCCCTTCTCATCAGCCTCCATAATTAACATGCGAAGGCTTCTGAAGCCTCGCGGCTACCTAATTCTCCAGCGCCCGAACCCTGCATCCAAGGTTCTTCAGCTCGCCTTTGGTCTTGTTCCGGAGATCAACCTCGGCGGTGAGTCACCATCACAGCCGGATGCCTTGCGAGAACAGTTGAGACTCGCCGGTTTCGACGACGTTTCGTCAGCCATATTTACCGGAGAGCATGGCCGAATTACTGTGGCCAGACCTTGTCAATACTTCTCAAAGCCTGTGAGAGCAATCGTCATATGCCAAGATTCAAACCATCCCGTTGTTTCCAGCGCTATAATGTTCTTACAGTCCCGAGGGATTTCTCTACAACACTTCCCCCCTGGACACAGACTTCCTCGGGGCCAACCCATCTTGTGTCTGCTGGATCTTGAGTCACCCTTCCTTCACAACATGGGTCCTGCGCAGTGGGACGAGCTGAAGAAGTCTTTGTTCTCGGCGCAAGACGAGAAGATGCTCTGGGTTACGGGTGCCTCTCAGATGCAGTGCAAAGACCCGAACTACTCTCTAACACTGGGTGCCGCTCGTAGCGTGCGAAGAGAGTTGGCAATGGACCTAGCCACCCTGGAACTAGAGTTCTTCAACGTCCATGGATGGGATGCTATGGCCACTGTGCTCGAATCTTTCGGAGGGCGCTTCCGTGGCGGTGAGGTTGATTCGGATTCCGAGTACGTCTTCTCCAATGGATCAATCCAGATCTGTCGGTTTCACTCCATCAAGGTTATGGACAACTTGAGAGAACAATGCGACAACGCTCCGAAAACTCTAAATATCGTCAATCCCGGATCTTTGCAGGCATTGAGATGGGAAGAAACCGAAGGTGTAGGGTTGGTCTTGGATGGAGACAACCTTCGAGTTGAGGTACGAGCCGCCGGGGTCAATACCAAGGTATGATTGGGTCATCCAAGTACTTTGAAGCACATTATAACGTCAGACTTCAGGACCTACATACATCGCTAAGTGATGTGTCAAGCGAAGCCGGTATTTCTAGCAAGTTTGGACTCGAGGGCAGTGGTATTGTTACAGGCGTGGGGCCTGATGCCCGCCAATTTCGCGTTGGTGATCGAGTTGCATTTAACCACGACAGCGCTCTATCAACCTCTATCATATTGTCCGAGTCTCTATGTGCAGAGATTCCTGCTGCCATGGGCTTTGAGGAAGCTGCATCAACGCCATACTCTTTCGGCATAGTTCTACATGGGCTAATGGAACTAGGGAAACTGAAAAAGGGCCAGGCAGGTTTCCCTCGTCATTCGTATCCGTATATGTACTGACTTCTTAGTCTGTATTGATTCATTCAGCTTCCGATGCCCTCGGGGCTGCCGCAATCAATGTGGCTAGATTGATTGGTGCCCAGGTGACTATCCCCCACCCGTTGCTTTCGGCATTGCAGCAGACTGAGCCTTTCTTGAAGATTGTTTGTACAGTCCGGACTTCGGAACAGGCCGAATACCTCATGAGTTCGTATGAGATTCCTAAAACCTGCATATTCAACTGCGGGGACACTTCCTTTTCGCACGGAGTTTTGCAGTTGACGGCTGGAGTTGACGTCGTGTTCAACACTCTACCTGAATTTTTACAAGAGTCTTGGGACTGCCTTTCACCACTTGGGACATTGGTACACGTCGTCCAACACAGAGCCCACAATGCCAGTCATCTCCGGATGGACCGTTCAAACTGCAATCGGACTTTCGCCAGCGTAGACTTTGAAGATCTGAGGATCAATCGTCCGAGAGAATGCACCCGGTTAGTACCTCATCTTCCTGCGGCAACGTGTTATACGGCTATCAGTTCACTGACCGATACAAAAATAGGCTCCTGGAACAAGCCTTCACACTTAACAAGTTTGGCTTGAACAACACAGCCCCCGAAGTCCTAACATTCGAAGCTTCTGATGTGGTACTGGCATTCCAACACCTTCAATCCGACAAGCACGTTGGACGGGTTGTTGTTAGGATGCCTCGAAGCAGCGGGGAGCTTCAAGCACTCCCTTTACGCTCACAGATTTCTCTCCGCCATGACAGAACTTACATCATTGTCGGCGGTGCTGGAGGCCTAGGCCAAGCTACTGGTCGCTTTCTTGTCGAGAGGGGGGCTCGCGACCTGATATTTTTCTCGAGATCGGCCGAAGAAGCCTCCAAAATCCAGCCACAGTACTTCACGGAACTCGAGTATCTAGGCTGCAGGGTTCAAGCGATCTCTGGTAGCGTTGACAGGATGGCCGATGTGGTCAGGATGATGGACTCCGTGTCAAGTCCAATCGCTGGAGTCTTGAACGCAGCGATGGTTCTTCAGGTGAGGTCCCAGCCACTGACTTCGTGATATGTAATGCTCATTGGCATCAGGACACGAACCTCGCCGATATGACTTTCGAGCAATGGCAAGCCACTGTTTCGCCAAAGGTACAGGGAACATGGAATCTTCACTATGCTCTCCAGGCGCAAAGCGAACCACTTGACTTCTTCTTTCTCTTCAGTTCCCTATCTGGACTCGGCGGTCAAATCGGCCAGGCCAACTACGCCGCCGGCAATGCTTTCTTGGATGCCTTTGTGCAATATCGTCATTCTCAGAGTCTTCCATGTTCTGTTCTCGACATCGGAATCATGGAAGACATTGGCGTTCTTGCAAGGGAAACCACCCGCCTGGAAGCCCTTCGCACAGTGTCGCAGCATTGCCTCCACGAGCAAGACTTGCTCGACGCCGTGGAATTGATGATCCAGCGCTCCAACGGTCGTCTTGGCATCGGGTTCGAACAAGGTGAGGGCCTGGCTCGAGGGTACATTAATCCGAGTCAACTCGCCATCGGCATGCGATCGTCTGCTTCGGCGAACAGAACTGGGTGGCAGAGAGATCCACGCACTCTTTTTCTAACGAGTGCAGCCTCTACCCACGGCCAGGTGGTTCACAGTGAGCACGAGACGGGCAGTTCCCTGAGGGAGTTCCTCCATAGTTGCGCATCAGACCCAGGGAAACTGTCATCTGACGAAGCCAAAGAGTTTTTGGCCAAGGAAATCGGCGGCGCCTTGAGGGGGTTCATGATGCGGCAGGATGCGGAAGTCAACCTGTCGCTGCCTCTGCAAACAGATTCGTTGGTTACGGTGGAGCTGCGTAACTGGTTCCGGCAAAAGTTGGGAGTCGTTTTCACTGTTGTCGAGTTGCGAAGGGCGGAAAGCATCTTGGCACTTGGCGGACTGACAGCTGCCAAACTCTCTGCTGCAAACATGTGAAGGGTCAACTATAACGTTAATACATGTACACTTTGAGCGTGGTATGCACCATTGGCCGAGAGCATGGTATTAGCCGGTGATAAGGGTGCGATGCGCCTTGCAGCGCATGGCAGGGCGTTAGCAGTAGTCACCCGAGACGTGGCGGCTGAAGAGAGGGCCCCAAGGACTGCAGGTAAAGACGGTGAGCCCGGAAGACCCAGAGGGAGAGCGGTTGAGGGACTGGCTGGCCAGAACAGGGTGATGGCAACGGGAACTGGATGGCGAAGAGCAAGATAGCGTGAGCCCAATGCCATAAGGGTCTGAATCCCTGTGCAAGTCTTACAAGTGGGGCTCCGATGACGGGCTCGCTGGAGACGGAATCTTCCCGTCCCATCCAAGTTGTCTCATCAGGCACCAAAAACAGCCACCCTCACAGAGAGTGTAGACAGAACCCTGGATTCCAGGACGGCATATGAATCAGAACAGATAGCTATTACCTGTTGTGTAGGGTTGGCGCGCAGCTGTTGTGGAACCCCCCCCTGTGGGTCATCACAGAAGTGTTTTCCCATGTGAATCTACTCGGATTAGAGACCAAAATGACCAAAGTCTGTCGTGTGGCAAAACTTGCCCAACCAAGGGAAGGTTTATTAAGTTGACATCACCGCAACCTCTCGTGCAGTGAGTCTATCTCGACCGCCAACTCTTACGCCGTGAACCGACGTGCCTCTAGCTTCTCAGGACGCTGATGAATTCCGCTACTGTTGACTGCGGTTAACACACTGACACATCTGCATTGCCTTTTGGTATTTCCCATAACTACTACAGCCAAAATCAGCACTAAAAGACCCAAGATGGCCCGCGAGAAGTCGTCTTACGACCGTCCCGTCTCAGTGGACATGGATCGCGAGTCTCTCGGCCGTCGCGCCTCGGCGCTAGAGGAGGTTCCGACTTTCGTCCCTCCTCCTGGGTACCCCGGCATCCCCGTTACCCGACGCGTGAGCACAGTCTCCCAGAGCTCACGAGTAAGGTTGGAGAATGACCATGCGGACGACCTGGAAGAGCTCGTTCGCAACACCTCGGCGGTGAGCAAGCAACGATCTCGGGAAAGGCGCGAGTCCCACGATAACGTCTTCGAGCTGCCCTCCTTCCCGAGGGCCGCGAAGCCAGGTCCCGTGAGCACGATCCGGGAGGTGCCCTCCGAGTTCACAACCCCTCAGTCCACGCGCCCTCCGTCTCCTGTCTCCGGTCTGGTCTCCGGCCCACAGTTGCCCGTCGAGTACGAGACCGGCACAGGCCAGGCTTACCCCGACATTGGCACCATCGCTTCTTTTCGGGGAGCCCTTGTGCTCCTTTGTACTTGCGGCGCACAGCTCATCGATAACGTCTTTATGACGGGCGTCAACATTGCTCTGCCCGCCATCCAGAAAGACTTCGATGTCAAAAGCGGGGAGCTGCAGTGGCTGATCTCGGCCTACACTCTGACGTTTGGTGGCTTCCTCCTGCTCGCCGGCGTGCTTGCTGATCGGTTTGGTCGCAAACTCATCTTCTGCACCGGTATGGCGACGCTCGGCGTCTGGACGGTCGCCAACGGCTTCGCGACCTCCTTCATCCAGTTGGCCATCTTCCGAGCTCTGCAAGGCGTCGGCGCCGCGATGACGGTCCCTTCAGCCGTCGGTATCATCAGCAACTACTTCGTCACGGGGGACCGAACGCTTGGTCTGACCATCTTTGGCGCCGCCGGCGCTGTCGGCTTCTGCCTCGGTCTCATCTTTGGCGGCTTCTTGACTTCCTCGCTTGGCTGGCGGTACATATTCTACATCCCTACTGCTGTGAGCGGCGCCCTTGGCGCCATTGGCTGGATCTTCCTTCCAAAGGACAGAATCGAGGGTACCTCGAAGCCCAGGCTGGACTTTGTCGGCGCTGGTCTGTCGACGGGTGGGCTCATCATGCTCAGCTTTGTTCTTTCGAGCGGTGGCGAGTACGGCTGGGGCAAGGCGTTCATCATTGTCTTGCTTGTTCTTAGCATCGCCTTGATTGTTGCATTTACCTATGTCGAGAAGAAGGTTTCGAACCCCATCATGCCGCTTTCGCTCTGGAAGCTACAAAACTTTGCCGCTCTATGGATCGGTGGCTTTGGTAAGTTGATCGAAACCCATCAAGAACACAACTGGTTATTGACTCCAAGACCACATGTAGTCATGTACGGCGGGTACCAGACGACGGTCTATTACACGACCCTCATCGCTCAAGAAGTCAACAAGTTGAGCGCCGGCGAGACAGCTCTCCGTTTCCTCCCCATGGGCGCGACAGGCTTCATCTTCAGTCTCTCCATGTCACGCATGCTCGAGGTCTTCAACACCAAGTACCTTCTCATCTTGGGTATGACCATCTGCGCAATCGCGCCTATCCCTTCGGCGCTCATGAAGCAGGACGACCTCAACTTCTGGAAGCACGTCTTCCCGACCACCGTCATGGGCGTCGCGGGCACGACTATCGTCTACTGCACCATCACCGTTGTGCTCCTGGCCTCGGTACCTGTCAACGTCAAGAGCCTTTGCGGTGGCATGATCAACACGGCGTTCCAAATCGGTAGCGGTGTTGGCCTCGCACTAGCGAGTGCCATTGTCCAGGCCGTGGACATAAGCAAAGGCCACAGCCAGCTGCAGCGGTTCAACACCGGGCTGTGGTGCTGCGTGGGCCTTGCAAGTGTCGGCGTGGTGGCCAGCACGTTTGGAGTGAAAAACGTCGGGAAGGTTATCAGTGGCCCAGCTATTGCTCATTAATTATTGAACCACGATGTGAATGACGACATGAAAAGCGGTCAAGGGAGATTACGGATATATCATATGGTTTGCTAGTTTAGAGATATTCAATCAGTGGTCGCCTAGGGACCATATTTGCTTGACTAAAAGTCTAAAACACAACGTGACTGGCAATGATTGTACACTGTAAAGCGAAATCAATGAACAAGTGTATGAAAATGGTGAGTGGATATTGCCAACTTCTTGATATGTATTTTGTGGTCGGTTCAGGCGGGATAGGCGCTTCCCAGCCAAGTTACTAAAGGTATAGGCTACAGCTCTGTCGCTTGGTCATCTTCCAACAGACACAGAGTGCTGATAGCAATAGATTCGTATATTCGACTGTGATGACAAAAGCGGATCCGTAATTGCCACTGCGCAATTACGGCTTATATCACGACATCAACCTTAATTAACATGCTCAAAATCTCTGCGAGCTCTTTCACGCTTGCAGTGCTGTCAAACATGCCTTTATATGGACCCAGGCACATCTGGTCTAAGCGTAGCTAGCCCAACTGAAAGTCCTGTCTTATGTCTTGAATAAAAGAAAGGTACTCAATGAATCTTGAAAAGAAGGGATATATAATGAAATAACCAGAGAAACGAATCCTGAGAGCCCAACTGCCAATTCTTCTAGTGTCCGTAGCAACTTTGGGGAGCGCTCGTATAAATGGCTAGCCCCACTTGTCGGCCGGAGCTTGCGATTGCCCCACTTCTATCCGACGCTGCTCGGAACTTATAGTTCACGCGGATTACCTCGGCCCGCCGCGCTACGTAGTCACTGAGACGTGAGTGGTTAGAAATCTACATATATAACCTCTTGACTTTGCCTGTCGAAAATATCGCTTCACCCAGTTTGATATCCGTCATCTATTTCTCCTGTCACAGTCACCATGGGTATCCCTCTACCTACATTCATGACAAACATTGCCCCCTATCATGTCATCTCATACGCGACGTTGCTCGGCACCTCGCTTTTCCAAACATTTGTCAATACTAAGATCTGCTACAGCGAACTTCCAAGGTCCTCCTTTACGACGTTGCAGAAACGCCTCTTCCCCGTTTACTTCCGTTGCCAGGCGGTTCTCTTGGCTTTGACCGCCATCACATTCCCTCCGTACGGTCCATCGTCCCTACTTCTGGAGAAGCGCGATTGGACCCCACTCGCAATCACTGGTCTCACAACCATTGCCAACCTCTTCATCTATGGGCCGAAGACAAGAAAGGCCATGATTGACCGGGCTCATCAAGGTGAGTTCTGAGTCCGAGCCTGGAGCCGGGTTGTCAGATGAGGGAGGCGCCCACTAATGCAAAGCAGAAACGCGTGATGCAAAGCGGCCTGATGCTGTTGACGAGCCAAGCCCGGACATGAACGCTGTCAGGAGACGCTTTTCGTTCACCCACGCTATGAGTATTCACCTCAATCTCATTGGCATTTTCGGTATGGTGTGGTACGGGGTGAGGTTGGCGTCTAAGTTGAACATCGAGATGGACTAAGGTTTTATTGTTTGTGATTATTCGGCTGGGACTTCGTTGCAATGCTAACCCCCCCTCCCCCATTTTACTTTATTTTCATGTGGCATGTCACTAGCGCCCTGCACTTTTATCAGCCACAGTGACAAATGCATCTTCTTGACCTCTCAATAAGATTCGAGGTTGTTGGACCGAAAAAGAAAGGAAAAAAAGCACCAGAACTGTGTTTAGGCATCTATATCAGAAGTTGAAGAAAGATCACAAGTTTCGAATGAGGCAGTTGTGATCGACCATGACTTTGTCTATCGTTCGGAATTGGGGCGATGCTACCCAGTGTTTATGATTCTCGGAGTCTCTGGTTCGCGCATCGTGGACCCTATTTACGTGCCAGAGTAGAGGAGTTCCCGCACATGGGAATGTTGCAACCATCTAAACTTACGCGCTACACCAGTAACATCCTTTCAAAGCTCGTCAAAAATCACCGAAACTCCGGTGTCCTGAAGTCTGTTCGTTGCTGCGTGCCTCCTATAACCTTATTATTCATGTGTATCATCAAAACTTGCTATGATTTCCTCTACTCACGGGTCGTAAAAGGTCAGCGAATGCTGGGCACCTTCGGCGCTGATATCGTAAAAGTCTTTGCAGCTGGAAAATGAGACCTTGGGCTGTGCCGCGTAGAACTCATCGTACTTGACGTCGAGAGCATCGCGCAGGTTGTCGACGCCGCCCTCGGGGTGGATGTGCTTCCAAGGAAGCCTGCAGGTCACTGCCTTGCAGCTCTTCAGAACCAATAGGAGGGCGTCGAGCCGGTCTTGCACGGCAGATAATGGACGCTCAAGAAGCTGGCCGAAGGCGCTCCCAGCTAGGTTGACCATCTGGCCTGGGTCCTTCTGTAACAGAGGTTAGTCAGGAGTCAAATGACGTCCGATCTGGGCCTGCACTGACTTTCATATCGTAGAGCTCCCGCTCGTTGCTGCACCAGACCGAGTAGAACAAGCTGTATCCACCTCCTAGAACACGCATGGCCTTGTACGTGTTATTCGCGGCGACTGTGAAGAGAGCCAGAGACGACTTTTGTTAGTGAAACCGCCCTTTCAATTCCAGGCTCGAACCTACTTACCGCCTCCGAAGGCGTCATAACCCGACTGAAGTCCCCAGAACTCGACGTTGACGTGGTCGTGCTTGGGGTCATTCTGTGACTTCTCGATGTCTTCCTCAGAGAAGGGAATGGGAGATCCATCGAAATCCTCACGCAGGGTAATGTTGGCAAGCGAAAAGATGGTTGGAGCGATATCGGTGTGGGTCGTGACGAAGTCGACCCTTTTTCCCTTGGGCACACCAGGACCACGAATCAGGAACGGTACATTGATGTCCTCCTCAATAGCACACGTCTTTCCTGGCTTGAGGCGGTGCTGACCGATGTGGAAGCCATTGTCGGACGTGAATATAAAGTACGTGTTGTCAAGGATGCCTGCTTGATCGAGGCGGTCGATGATGGCGTCAACCATCTCGTCGACGGACTGCAGCGTCTGGAGGCGGCGGCGGTAGTAATAGTCGCCGTAGGCCACCTCGGTAGCATTCAACTGGCGAATGATATGGCCCCAGTTGGCCATACTGGGCTGTGGACATATTAGCCATCATTAATGGAACCCGAGGAGATGTGCCTAATTATTCCCACCTTCTCAGGGTTGAAGTTGTAAGTGTGAGGGACAGTGACATTGGCGAACAGGTTCTCGTGCCTCTTTGCCGGGATGGGCGGTGTGGCACCTGGACTTGTTTCGCCGCCAAGGCCATTATTGTGAGGACCGATGGGTGCAACGCCGAGGAAGAAGGGCTTGCTGCCATTGAATTCGAGGGCGTCATCTAAGAAACCCAACGCTCTTTCGGCGACCAAGTCGTTGCTGTACTCGCCAGGGAAGGTCTGAGGTGGGTTTTGGTTCCTCTGGAACGTAGCGTTGAGGTAAAGGTAAGTGTTGGGGTCTAAGAGGACTAGTTTACAGGCATCAGCAAAACGATGATTCATTCTAGGTTCTCGAGTAATAACTCACAGTCACTGCCAGTCCACCCTTTGGGGAAAGGGTTATTCCAGTTGCCGGTATCATGTGCGTTAAAGAGCTTGCCGGTGTAGTAGGTATTGTAGCCGGCGTCTTGGAGCCACACAGGCAGATACTTGTCATTGTAGCCCTGAGACACGAACTTGGGGTAACCTCCTGTTATCATCGGTTATCATCGTTAAAGTCCACCCCCTTCTAGGTGATAGGACATATTCATGTATCCCAACGTACCGTGAGGACGAACAACGTTAGTGACGTTGGTGTTGTGCGCCGCCTGGCCCGTTAGCAGGCTGACACGGGACGGACAGCATATTGCAATTGTACAGAAATGTTTGCGGTAATATGTGCCTTCTTTGACAAGGTGCTTCTGAACATAGGGCATGTAGTCAAGAGAGCCCAGCTGCTGGTCCTGGTCATCTGTCAGGATAAAAACAATATTGGGCTGGCGCTGCTGCACGTCTTGAGCAACAACGGTGGTGGCACTAAGTGCCAGCGTTGCCAGCGCTGATAAGATAGGGATGGGGAGCATGATGATCTTTTTTTCTTGTCGAAACACGAAAATCTGAGTCAGAAGTTCGGACACAAGAACCGATGCGCCAAAACAACTCCGATTGGTCTGTGAGAAGAAGGAGATACTTGTGTGCTGTGCGCGAACTAGCCATGATAGGGGAGCACAGAATCCATTTCAGTCAATTATAGCCTCCCCTCTATAACCGGAATCGAACCTTACTGTAATTGTAATCGACAGGGGCTCCGGTGATCTGGTGGTATCGTCAGCGGGTCCCCAAACGGTATTTGCCCAGATTTAGACCAGTTGGATGAACCTCTGGACGGTACTATCAATCATCGTAATCGGAGCTGTTAATTGTGCCATTCTACCCGCTAGCCTATTTCCAACACGATCACGACGTTTTGCTAGCCAGATACCAATGTTTTTTTTTTCCGGCTCCAGTGGAAATACAACGTGCAAGCGCCGCTAAATAATGGCTGGTAGAATAAATTCTCTATGAAGCCGACCGGCTTTAGACATTAGTTTTTGATGCGATTGTTAGCGGCAAAAAGTACTGCCCTTCTTTTGTCCTGGGTTATGCTACGAAGCGGTGCCATCGACACCGATTGTTGTTGTTGTTGTTGTTGTTATATTTAACGCCGGGCCGTTCCTGTGTAGGACAAAGGGCGCCTGGGGTTGCGGGCTTCCGCCTAAGTAAGTACGTCTAACAATAGATACAGTCCCTCTCTGTCACAATCGGTATGTCTCATGCCATCGTCTTCTCTTCTGCTTCCACCAACGTCCCAGGAGTTCAACTAGAATTGTTCTGTGCTGTCAAGTGCCCAAGGCTCTTCAGCTGCCAGGTTCCATGCGGCATCCCCCAGTTGATTCGTGTTTTACACGGATTAGCTAGGGGTTTCCGTGTGTTCAGTTGTACAGTGCTACTCGCACATCCATGTCGTTGTGAAGTCTCCCTCCGCTGTCTTTAGTGGAGGAAGTACTCCTAGTACGGTGTCAAGAAGTCATATACAAAGGAAAGGTAAGTGAGTGTGGTGTAGGAGAAAGGGGGGCTACGCTGTCAGCGGCAGTGCCGCTTCTGAGGTAGTATGGGGGAGGATAGTGGTGGTGTAGAGGAGGGTGTGGAGAGCCCTACGCATCTGGCACCATCATTCAGGCTGGCCTATATAGCCTGGTTGTTGGCCGCCTTGGGCGGAGGGATGCAATATCAAGGCCATTGGCCGCCGCCATCGACACTGAGGGACCTGATAAGGAGGTAGACTGAATAACCGACATAACAGGGTAACTGTTTGACAACTATGAACCGTTTCTTATGTACCGAGGCAAAGGTTCACATCGCGTACTGGCCAACGCTTGATTCACCTGGTCATATCTGTTGTCTACGGAACGTCAGTGTACCTAGCCACTTACGGTAGCATGATATGGGAAGGTGGACAAACCACTAAATTAGGTAATTCCGATTAACACTATAGACACCTACATTACTAATCTTAGCTGCTGCGAGTTGCTAGTTAGTTTTTGTAGAATACATTATTACTGTTGCTTAGGAAATTATTGAATTCTGATTTATTGCCCCTACTGCGCGGCTAAATATCTGCTAGAACTTACAGAGCTTTAATCTTAATCAGGATAGAGGCAGAACCTTAAAACTTAAATAATCAAGCTTACTAATCCTGGTTAGAAATCAACAACTGATTGCTTTCCACACAAAACTGTACCCCTATTTTCACAGAGGATAGGAAATGCTATACTTGCCAATACGCATGTTCTGAAGATAAAATGAAAGAGCAAAACATGGCCGGGGGCGATTCTATTATCGGGCTTGAGGAAGTCAACAGCCGAACTGAAAGCTCACACAGCTTAAGCCGAGGGCGAGAAACCAACCATTAAAGACAGCATTGAACATGAGGCAACTTGGGCAATATGCTGTATCTAAGAGCGAAGGTTTTAGTCGTCCCTTGAGTCGTGTTCACGTCTACTCCGTGACCTGAGGATATCGAGTATCGTCTATAGACCCACAGATTCGGGTTTCGTCCAACGCAATTGGATATCCACCAAAACACGGCCGACTGGCGCAATGGTAGCGCTTCAGACTTCTAATCTGGAGGTTGTGGGTTCGAGCCCCACGTTGGTCATCTTTTTGATCAATTTCGAGCATTTTATCGTGTTTTTTTTTTTCTTCTTTTCTTTCAAGTTCTTCTGTTGTTTTCTGTATTATTGGAAATGTGCGTAGTGGTTGCAGGACGGGCAGGTAGGGTGATGCATGCCTCGAATGAGAGAGCATGAGAAGATTGGGACAAAAACACGTAGCGTATGTAATGGGCTTTCCAGACGATTCCAAACTTTTTGTTGAACGAAATTGGAGCATATGCCTTTCATGACTTGGATGCCTTTGTTCAGACCGTTAGCTCTTTCCACGGAATGATGCACGTCATGCCGTGGTTCTTGCAGACGGGGCCCCAGTCCGGCGTCAGCTTCTCACCTGGGGCTCACCGAGATGCCCCACTTAATCCCTGGCGGTCGCATAGTCAATCGTAAACTGCCCGCGTCAAGCTCCAGCTCAGCTTTCTCTCCCACGGCAAGCTTCGGAGCCCAAATTTCAAAATGGTACGTCCCAGCCTCTCCCCCTGCGTCCCAACGACCCAGCGACCCGGATGCGTGTATGCGGTGCCTCATCCGTTGCTCGAGCTAGCTAACACTACCGCCACAGTTACCTCTCGGCCTCTTGAACGCCGCCCAAGGGCACCCCATGCTCGTGGAGCTGAAGAACGGCGAAACCCTCAACGGCCATCTGGTCATGTGCGATACCTGGATGAATCTGACCTTGAAGGAGGTCGTACAGACGAGTCCGGTACGCGCCGCCCGTCGATGCCTCAATACCGTGCCTCGCGACTGACGATGATGCAGGAAGGCGACAAGTTTGTCAAGATCCCCGAAGTTTATGTGAAAGGAAACAACGTATGATACGAACCCCTCCCAACATTGCGCCTCCACAGGCAAACACAGTGCTGATGCGCCCCCAGATCAAATACCTACGAGTCCCCGACGACATCATCGACGTGGTCAAGGAGAACCAGGCGAACCACCAGCAAGGAGGATTCCGTGGCGGTAGAGGCGGAAACAGAGGGGACCACAGCGGTCGCGGCGGCGATAGAGGCAGAGGCAGAGGTCAGGGCCGTGGAGGACGGGGGCGTGGTAACCGCGGTGGCTCATGAGGATATCTCTCACACGATTCCGACAAGCCAGCACCTGGCGCACCGATGCCCACGGTGACCATACACAACGCCAATGGAGAGAATACTCTTTGAATGCAGACGTCATCTGGAAGTCTTGCGCAAGAGAAACTAGGCGTGCGACTTTCATCCTGGGGCTGATGGCCCCGGAGAGTAGAGCCAGCGAGCGACCATTGGCCGCACCCAGGAGGCATGCAAACCAGCAGAGTCATTTTACGTACTTGGAACATAAAAATACAGCCGTGAGAGGCCAATACATTCCCCAGTTATCTGCAATGTGAATCTGCCGGATGCTGATCTTGGCCTTGGGCAGACATATCTTGCTCCATGTCACGTGACTGCTCAGACCGGGATCATCTCGGTGAGAACAGCCCCGAAATCTGCACGCTGGAAGCTCCCCCAGATTCTTGCTCCTCCCCGCGCCCACCCACTCTCATCGTCAGCTCCATGTCGGGCTCTCGCGTTATATTTGATGGCTTATGGCGCTGCCTCTGCCCCTCTACTGATGCATATGTAGCGGCTAGACTGCTCACTTCCCCCATTCTACCTCGAGCATCGATTGCAACGAGCCAGCGAAGGCAACCCGTCCGGTCCTCCCATACGCACGTTATCCGCCCACAATGTCGCCGATACTCCACAGCTACGTCTTCCAAACTACATTCAGAAAGCGACGCAAGAGCGTTTAAAAGTGACGAGGCAGTAGAAAGAAATGCGACCGCTGGGGAAATACGGCACGGCGCCACTCCGACCGACTCTGAACCCGGCGATCCAAACGAACAGCTTCGAGCAGCGCCGTTATCTGCCATTTACGAGGCTTTGCAAGTCTTGCAAGGCCAGCCAAAGACTTTTCAGAAAGTGGCAACCTTCATCACACACTTAGTTCAGTCTCGGAATGCTGAGCTGGACTCCCAACTGTACGAGCATCTAGTAGTTGCGATGGCCGACGTTCAGGGCTCAGCAGCGATGCTCGCTCAGCTGTTCGCCGAGATGAAGCAGCTACAGCTCAAGCCAACCACCTCCATGTGCCATGCTGCGCTAGCTGTATGTCTTCTCTCAGAAAGATCGACAGGTTGGTCTTGCACTGACTTCATCATAGGCACTCGCCGTACATCCCGACTACTTGGTCCGAAACGAGATTCTTACCGCCATGAAGCAGTCCTGGACCGAGATTAGCATCGAAGGGCAAAGCCACAATGCCCTCGGTCTACTTCGTGATGGACAGTTTGAAATGGCGCTCGACGCATTAGAGGCTATGATTGACAAGCACGTACCTATCCCTTCGTGGGTTTACGATATCTTCATATTCGTGTTTGCCCAACACGGATTCGTCGACGAAGCGATCAAGCTGGCACACAGTAAGGTTCATGCTGGAAGCGAAACAAGTCTCACAGTGTGGTATATGCTCTTGGACACGTGCGCTCAGGCGCATCACTACGAAGGCACGAGGTACATATGGGGCAGGCTTCTGGAGACCGAGAGGGAGCATTTATCGGATGGTACTCTACTCAATGTCATCAACACGGCCACGAGGCAGTACGACTACGAGCTTGTTACAAGCGCGTCCAGTCTGATTACTCAAAGGGGTAGCAAGCTGTTGGCGCACCACTATGAGGCTCTGATTGACTGCTACGGCGGCGCAGGAGACGTAGCGAGTGCTCTGCGGGTTCTCTGCATCATGTTCAAGGCCATTTCCGTTGCGCCGTATGCTAGCACGCGCTCGATATACTGCTGGATCAAGAATCACCCGGAGAGCATTGATACTGCGCTCAAGACCCTAACGGAATTGGTGCGCAGTTACAGGGTCCCCATTGCAGCCCTCAACGTCCTCATTGAAGCTGCAGTAGACACCCATGGATATGCAAAGGCCTTGGAGATCTACCAAAACGCTCATAAGTACACAGAGGCGACTCCCAACCATGTCACAATCCGGTACGTCCTGCAGGCGTGCGACGACATGGAGTCTCTCAAATCTTTGGTAGCGGAGAATCCAGAGCTGGCTCTCAAGGCGGATCGAAATGCCTTTGGCAAGGCCATTTACGAGTACGCCGTATCCGGGGACCTCGATCTTGCCTACAAGTGCATAGAGCTGTATGGCAAGGCTCCTGAAGGTGCCACTGGTGAACCGCCTGGCAAGACAGAAGCATGGATTCCCAAAAGGACACTGCTCGCAATCATTAGGAAATCTCTCGACGCGCAAGATGAGCGCGTCTGGTGGTTGATCGAGCAGGCCGAGCGCCGGAACATAGATGTGCAATCTGGCATCGCGAAGCTGATGGCGTCTTTTGCGGATGAAATCAAGCGTAGCACAGGATTGGCGCAAGAGGATCGCGCTTTAGGCGATGATCTAGAGCCGCGGCAGCATCCTACGTTGTGACACTGGGAAAAGCTAGGCAGTACAGTTTGCCCGAGCTTGTTTTTTGCATGCCTTTTCAACCAAGGAAAATGCACCCCGGTGCAGAATATACCGCGATAGTTGTACAGCACACCTGTGGCCCAAATCACTCAACGCCTCGTATCCCAATGCATGCACATCCAATACTGATGCATTGAGACGTGATCTGTATTTCTAGAATGCCCGCACCGTTGGGTCCGAAAGACGATTCATAATGATGTTGATATCGGGATGCACGCTGATTCACTTTGGGGGATGACGCTGACGTGCTGTCCAGGGCCCCCTGGTCTCTCCGCGAAGGGGTTGACTCAAACCATGTCCGAGCTCCTGGGTTACCCAAAAAGAAACGAAGCTCAAGCACCAGATGCGCAGCCCGGCATCGATCGGATTTAAGATTAATAAGGTTACTAGGCCGTGGAATGACGATGAAGTAAGTAGGCTTGGCCCAACAACACACAAGCTCTATCACTAGCCGAGCCAATGAAAAGCGGCGCAGATGGAGAGATCTGTCGAATCTGTCGGGTTTCGCTGATAAATCACACAAAAGCCCGGACAGGATTAGTGATACTTGCCATGTAGTGGTTGTTATCTCACGTTCCAGGTTCTGCCTCCACGGGCGGCCTGATACTGACCCTTTGACTTAATCATGCATGGAAACGCGCCCAAGTGCGCTCCCTGGCATCGTTGGTCCAACGCCATGGACTCGCCGGGGACTCGCCGGGGACTCGCACGCCATATTGCGGCGCCCATGTGTCACGTCAGCACTAGCATTCTTCTCCCTTATCAATCCAGTCAGTCACTTTGATCAAACGACATGCGCTATGTCCAGATTGCCGGAAAGAAAAGGGACCAATGCCATGGGGACACGCTCAGAGCTTACCGCGCCAGGAGAGGGCGGATTTACGCCGCTTGCGTGTTTCCCGTGCCCTACCTGCAAGTTCCGTACTGGCCCGGAACATTTGGTAGCTTAGCTCCGAGCCCGATTCATAATACCACCCATACTGGAGATACTGGAGGTAAGGAATTGCGCCGCACCGCAACTCCGGCTTGTGCCTCGATACCCTGGACGGCTCGATTCTTCGAGTCGTGCTCGGTCATCAACATCCAGGCATGCAGCCAATTAGTCTTTCTAGCACCATCGTGCTTCTGGTTCATGGTCAAGCTGAAAATAACTATATAGATGGTCAATGTCTCGGGCTCGAGTTTGTCTCTTTTCTTGTCAAACCATCAACAAGTCATTTCTCAACCATCATACCCCATACGGCAAGAACGCTCAAACAGACATTGCCTACACTACACCAGACTCATACAAATCCGAAGCTGCCAGCACCATTTTCCTAAGCTACACCATCGTCAGCCGTCCCCATGGCGCAGATAATTCGAGAGGCCCCGGTGGGCCAACTGATCCGTTTTATCACTCGCAACAAGTTTCTCCAATACCCCGAGGAGAGGCCCGATTTCCAACTCCCGCAGCCATGGCTTGACGTCCTAAACTCGGAAAAAGAGGGTTTGGCGGTCGAAGCCGCAGATCCGGCATCGCCAAGATCCTCCCAATCGACCCGCATCAACGAAGAAAAGACGCTGTCCCAGGAGGAGGCCGAGGACGCGTCCCCGTACGGAGTCTCCCTCCAGCGGACGAGGAGCAGACAAGAGTCGGTTCCTTATACGCAGGACCGCCTCGAAATCGATGAGATCCATGAGATCCAGAAGACGAAGAGCATACCCATCGTTCCAAAGAAGACCAAGGATGGGGCCATCTTGGTGGATTGGTACTTTAGCGACGACGTCGATAACCCGCAGAACTGGTCTAACGCGAAGCGTGGCCTCATCACCGTCATCATATGCATCTACACCTTCATCGTCTACATGTCCTCGGCCATCTATCTGCCTTCCATTGAGGGTGTCATCCACAAATTCGGCGTTGACATGACCGAAGCCTCGTTGGGCCTGGCCCTTTTCGTCCTGGGCTACGGCATCGGTCCGTTGCTGTTCTCCCCTCTCTCCGAGATCCCTCGCATCGGCCGGAATCCCATCTACATTGTCACCATGCTCCTTTTCGTCGTCGTTTCCATCCCGGCCCCCTTGGTTGACAATTACCCCGGCTTGATGGTCCTTCGCTTCCTGCAAGGTCTATTCGGATCCCCTTGCCTTGCATCGGGCGCCGCGTCCCTTGGAGACATGTATAGTTTGCTGAATCTTCCCTATGCTCTGATTGCCTGGGTCTCCGCTGCCTACTGCGGGCCCGCAATCTCTCCGGTCTTGTCTGGGTTCTCGGTTCCCGCCATGGGATGGCGCTGGTCACTCTGGGAGATTCTTTGGGCATCGGCACCCGTCTTCCTCGTCATGTTCCTCTTCCTCCCAGAGACCTCGACACCCAACATTCTCCTCCGCCGTGCCGAGCGCCTCCGGAAGCTGACAGGCAGTAACCGCTTCATGTCCCAGTCCGAAATCGACCAGCGCAATCTTAAAACATCGGCCGTCGTCATCGACGCATTGATCAAGCCGCTTGAGATCACGATCAAGGACCCCGCTATCCTCTTCGTGCAGGTATACACCGCCATCATCTACGGCATCTACTACTCCTTCTTCGAGGTGTTCCCCCTGGTCTACCCGGTCTACTACGGCATGAGCATCGGCCAAGTCGGCCTCGTCTTCCTTTGCATCCTCGTCGCCTGTCTCATCGGCGTGGCCATATACATCTCGTACCTGGCCTTCTACATGATCCCGCGCATCAAGAAATTCGGCTTCCCGGCCCAGGAGAACCGCCTCGTGCCCGCCCTCCCGGCATCCTTCGGCCCCACCATCGGGCTCTTCATCTTCGCTTGGACGGCGTCCCCGGCGATCCACTGGATCGCCCCGACCATTGGCATCACCGTATACGGCGCTACCGTCTTCATCGTTATGCAGTGCATCTTCGTCTACGTCCCGCTCTCGTACCCCCAGTACGCCGCCAGTCTCTTTGCGGGCAACGACTTTTTCCGCTCAGCGTTTGCGTTCGCTAGCATCTTGTTCGCGCGGCCGATGTACCTCGACTTGGGCGTTGCGCGCGGCACGAGCTTGCTGGGTGGGCTAAGCACGATCGGTATTATTGGTATCTGGCTGCTCTACTTCTATGGCGCCAGGCTGAGGTCTCTGAGCAAGTTCGCGGTGTCATCCGAATGAAACGAGGTATGAAGATTTCCATGGTAGTGCGCTTTGGTGCAACTCGTCTTGGATTATTTAAGAATTATTTGGCTTCTTGGTTTTGAACGCGTATATGAGTAAAATAGATTAGAGAGAAGAGAGCATTGGACTTGAAATATTTCGCCTGAAATCCAGCTCACAAATAACCAAACGTCTATGGCTCCGTTTATATTGGTGTTCTTCCATAAAACTGCAACGAGCGATGAAGACCCGAAATTCTTTGGATGCTTCTCAGATGTACTATCAACTTCCTGCTGCCAATTCTCTTAAGACTCAGGGGCCGAAATATGTATGGAGAAAATAAGACAATTTGATGTTGCTACACAAGCTAGCGACTCACTACAATCTAGGATTTGATTGCAAGAACCCGCGCTTCCCCTTTTGCTGAATTACCAGCTATTACTCCCCGGAAAAATCCCGAGTATGTCGTCGATACCAACCGTTCGAAACGCCATCGACTTCTTTACCAGCCAACATATAGCTGATATTGCGACGACCTTCAGCTCGCAGCTGCGCGTCCCAAAGGTCTGCAGTGTCAGCGATGACCCACTGGAAGCCCTGCTTCATAATCCAGTCAAAGTCGCTTCGGTGATCATGGCCATCCAATGATTTGTTCCCAACTACCGAGTCGTAAAGCGCAGGAGCCATATTTTCCTGGAATTTGAATGCAGAGTTGCTTTTTCGAATATCTGCCGGAATGCTGTAGTTTGCTGTGTCGAATCGCGTAAGATTTGAGGTGATGAAGTCGACGAAGTCTCCAGGTGCGTAGCTGTCGTAAAGTCAGCTAAGATGCAATGTACTTTTACATGGGCTTCTACTATGGTTAGAGGTGAAAGCATACAAGATTCCAGATGTACTGAATGAGTCTGTCACTGTAGCGTTGAGTATAATGTAGTCTTGCAGATTTTGCAACGGTGCACCTGTGGAATAAATCTCGAATTCGGCGCTGATTGTATAATTGGTCTTAGCCCATTCCCTGAGAGATTCGAGAGTATTCCATGAAGTCTCGTCTTCGGGATTGTAGACGGGAATGTAGGCGAGCTGAACGCCGGAGGCAAAGGCATCCTTAACCCAGCCCAACGATTCGAGCTCCGCGGGGTTCTTCCACCACTTGGCTTGCAACTTGTAGATACACCACTCGTTCGCAGGCACACCAGCACGGTTGGTGAGGTTCTTCAACGCCCAGTAGGCTGGCTCTACCGCAGCCTGGTCCTTGAAATCGAGCTGGAGCACAACATTGACACCCGTTTCATAGATGCTATGGACCATGTCCGGCAACGTCGGGACGGTCTCAATGTGTACTCTTCCCAGCTCGTCTCGAAGATGAAGGTCTTCGATGAAGCCTTTGAAATTGCTTTGTATGATTGGCGGATTATACCCCTTGCCCGTAAACGGGTTGTAAGCTGGCTGCTGAGTCTGTTCGCCAACATCTGTGGTGCGCCCTAAGCCGTTGTCGTGAACCATCGGCAAATATCCATCCCGAGAAAGATGAATGTCTGTCTCGATGCATTCTAATCCGGCCTCAGAGGCCCGGAAGTAGGCATCCCGAGAGTTCTCTGTCGTGCCGTTCCATCTAGTTGAGGTTAGTCTCTGATGCTTTGTCGACAACAAGCTTTATTCAACATCGTGCCACCGTAAAAGCATACCGCAGCCCTCTGTGGGCACACAGAATGGTCAGATCATCATGCCGATGACGAAAAGCGTCAATGATCTTCCGTACATCATATGGCTGCCGTGCTGCATAGACTACTGGCAGTTGGAGATTCCAAAGGGCAAGGACCGTAATTGATATGACAAACGACTGCATTGTGGCGGTAGGAGGTAAAATTGCAGCTTTTCCACCTTTCAATGACAATACAATGAGCAACTGCACTCTCTCATTAATATAGCGCAGTCCGGTAGCATCGGAGATTGGCACGTGTTAGTGATCATTTTGGAGAGTTTGGTGCTATGAGAGGAGAACAGCGCCAGTCCCCGCTTCGTATCCTCATCGTTTCATACTTTCACTTTGCATCAAGTCCACTTGTAGGAACCAACCATGGGCCCCCTATCAGAACTATAAATCAGTGTAAACTCAATAACAATAAGGAGACGCTTCGACTCGTAAACATGGAGATATTGGTTCCGTTATAATGTAATTTTACCCTTTCAGAATGTGTCGTAGAGGCACTTTTGGGGTAGGAAAAGGCATAAGAAAACGGCTTAGTTCTCTGCGACTTAAACCACCCAGAGGAACTGTTTTTCCGTGCCGAAGAAACCCCGTTCCGAAACGAACGGCTCGTGAGGCCGGTGAAGGCATCACGACAGAATGTAAGTATAGAGGTTTATCTTAGAAAGCTCTACTGCCCATAAGGACTCGATGAAATAAGCATCTAACTAGATCAAAAAACTTAAATTGTTCTGGCCTTTTGGTACAACATTCGAGTTGAGCTCATATTCTGCTTCCCATTGCTTCCCGAGGATCTGAAAATCAGGAATCATGTCCGTATAATTCCTGACATAAAGCCAATGCTTCAGAGTTACAGTAGCGCTGTGTGATAACAGCAACACAAATTAGAGAACCTGTAACCTGCCTGCTTTGCGTATATTTCCTTTTCCTTACAGATGTTTTCAATTCTATTACTGTCTAGTCAGGATTACTTTATCGGCATAATGAGCTGGGTGGCCACGTTAAACGGTCTTAAGGTGGAAATCTGTTGCCGCCAGAGGTTATGTTTCTGCGGTCTGAAACTATTTTGGTTTACCTATAACCACAATACTTCGGAATAGCTTTGGAACCACAAAGTTCTTGCGTTAAATTGTAAGTTATGAAAACATACTAACTCTGCAGTTGTCAATGGACGGTGTGGTGAAGGCTTGTCTGACCTTTTTCAGATTCGCAGATTCAATAATGATCTATACTTGAGTTTCGTGTTTTGCATTACCTATTCTTCATCATCCTAGTCTATTTTTTCTGCTTACATAACAGCAGGATCAAATTCCGCGCTTCACTACAGAACCACTAACTAATTGTGGCTAGTTCTGTGGTTTTGCGAGGCTAAAGTGGCATGCGTTGTAACTACTCAATAGTGGATTCCAGGTTCTTGAACTTGGAAAGTGACTCGGATTTAGTCAAATGCGATCTACGAATCTGGTTTGCAACAATACTCAGCTGCCGAGAAACCTGTCATCAGGGCGCTGAAAAGTTTCGTACCGTCGGCCTCCTTATATTTGCATGAATGGTTTGAGAATTCATATTGGATGTCTGGTCTTATTAACCTATCCTCATAGCTAGGTCCTCATTATTAAGAGAATTACATCCAAACTTTGGTTCATCCTCTTATGTTTCGTTCTTTAAAGCATACCTATCCAAGATACTTCTTCCATTCGTCAAATTCATGCAAGGCAATTCAATCATGATGTCTCTTGATCATGGTATTCTCTTGCTTTTCCCCCGATTGACCAAGCTAAGCCAAGTTAGATAAGCACTTAGAATGCTCCGATCTGGTAAAACTCAGCCGCTCTTACGTTAGTGTCAGCTGCGTCGCACAATCTCACACTAGCGGTGCATAGTCACCAGGTTATGTGACCAAGCTCCTAAGCACTAACATCACATCCAGCCACTTTTAGTTAGTCCTACAGAGTAGTGTTGGATGGAATATGTAACGTGAGCATGGTAAGACTGTGACTAGATAATAGGACCCCTGAACTAATCCCATCCTGGAAAGGTATAGAGAACGTTAAGCTTTTTACTAGAGATTATTCCCCGATAGATCTAGATTTAGTGCTGACCCATCCCGGAAGCTTGGGTCATACATCAAGGAACAGCTCAAAAGAGCTTGGAACTGATGAGAATTGGGATTGTTCAAGGGTCTGGAGGTTTGAGCAGCCCCTTCGGAGCGACAGTGGCCAGCAACCGGTCCCGTGTGAATGGTATTTGTGATCTAGGGTATATACGCAACTCTCGAGACGAGCCATCCCCAGACTTCTGCTTGTTACGTCCAAAATATACTGTTTCCTCTCAATCATAAAGAATCAACTAGTTTGGGGCTCCCTTGTGGCTGTCTGGTAACCCCCCAAGACTACAATTGGATCGAAGAAATTTGGGCCCGTCAGGAACCGGCGGGATTGCGAAGACAGCAGCGGTCGTTATAGACACATGAGAGACACCGACGGTCTTGCTAACATGTCCACATGAACAGCTAACATGCCCACATGAGCAACCTAGCCGACATGGTCAGCATCTGCAACATGGCCATGGTGGCTTACATGGCCTACATGCCGGTAGCAGATTCCATGGGTGACATGGCCCAATTGTGCGAGCGTTGAGGTATACGGTGGTGCTTAAACAAGTATAAATAGAGGTTGTTGTCGTCGCCTCGGCGTTTTCATTCTTTTACTCATCCGCATCTTGTTTACAACAGTTAACCTACTTGCTTCTTGTCTTTCCACTTTTGCACTTGTTGAGATAAAGACTCTCCAATATTACACAATTGTTACAATCATCTTGAGCAGTTCAAGATGGTGCACATTATCCCACTTCTTGTCGCCGCAGGCATGGCGATGGGAGCCCCCAACAAGATTGCTGGTCGGAATGGTTACAACAATGGTATGAGCTCGACGGCTGACAATCAGTGCGCGTCGACATCGGCAGTCACTCAGTACACGTCGACCTCGACTGGCAGTCAATACACGTCGACCTCGACTGGCAGTCAGTACACGTCGATCTCGACTGGCAGCCAGTACACGTCGACAGCAACTACGTCAACATCGACTACATCGACCCCGGCTGACCTTCAATACACGGAGACAGAACCGGCAGCTATAGCAGCGGCGGCAGCGACTGCCTTGACCTTGTCGCCTGTGTCCAACGTTACAGGCAAAGTCTTCAATCGCATCATGCAGATCTACCTTGAGACAACTGCATATGAGAACGCCATTGCCGACCCCAACTGCCAGGCTCTCATCGAGCAAGGCATCTTGCTGTCCAATATGTACGGGGCAGGAGCTCCCAGTCAGCCCAACTACGTGGCACCGGCCAGCGGTGATATCTGGGGTGTTAACAGCGATTCATTCCTCCTATTCAACCAGAATGTGTCCACCATTGTTGACCTGCTCGAAGACAAGGGCATAAGTTGGGGCGATTACAACGAGGGGCTGCCCTACTCGGGATTCGAGGGCTTCACGTACACCAACCCTGTTGAGGGAAATTACGCGCGCAAGCATAATCTCCTCGTGCGCTTCGACTCGGTTAGCTTAGACTCGGAGCGCCTGGCAAAGACAAAGAACTTGACGCTCTTCTACGAGGACCTCAACAGCAACCGCCTTCCACAGTGGCTGTTCGTCACGCCCAACCTGGCTCACAACGGACATGACACCAACATCACCGTGTCATGCAACTGGACTCGCAGCTTCGTTGAGCCGCTATTGAAGAACTCTAATTTCAACGACGGAAAGACGCTTGTCTACATCACATGGCAGGCCAACGGTCAGTATCCGTTGGCCCGCAACCATGTAGCCGGTATTCTTCTCGGCTCAGCTGTCCCCAGTGACCTGGTCGGTACCTCCGACAGCGCCTACTACAACCACTACAGCGAGCTGTCGTCGGTCCAGGCGAACTGGAACCTGCACACCCTCGGTCGGTGGGACGTCGGTGCCAATGTGTGGAATTTCATTGGCTCCAAGACGGGCGACGCCCTTCGCTATTGGAACGACACGATTGCCGGCGACAGCTTCGTTAACTACTACTGGAACCAGAGTTATGGCGGCGTTTTCAGCAACGGCTGCAATCTTCCGCACATCTACGTCGCCCCGAATCTCGACATCCTTGGAGGTGGCTACCGCACCGTACTGCCGGCTATTGCCCGCCTGTGGTACGGCTCGGGTCTGCCTGACTACTACCGCAATATCATCGAGGTGAACGATGCCCTGCACCCGCCCAAAGGCTTCGAAGTGCCCATTGGTCTCTCTACTGCTAAGGAGATCGATGGTCCTATCCGTTACTGGCCCAATGACTGATTGTATGGGGTTGTGGGACTGCGCAGGTCCAAAGGACCAAACGGCATGAGATCATCTTCATGGATTACTTTCTTGGTGTGCAATTTGGTTTATAACGTGGTGTGTTTGTGGAAGTAGTCTGTCACAGTACGTAGCAGGGCTTTTACGCCCCTTGGCACCGCTAGCTACGGTATATGTCTGTTTTCTTTGCGTGTGAACATGTTTTACATATCTTATTAAAAAATAACAAAAACGATCATTCTGTTCTATCGTATTCTATAATGTTTCAAGCCCATAAATTCCCGCCATTGTCACAGTGGCAGTTCTACTGTATGCTCTTAGACACTCAATATTATCAGCCGTGATCCGACAGTGGCAGTCAAAGAGCACCGCACAAAGTTTCGATTTCTAGTTGTTCTACTATAGGAGAGCTGGGCCATGGCACGGAGCAATACCTAAACGACTCTGATGGACGTTTCGTTATTTTTGAATTCAACTCAGTTAGATATGAGTCGCTAGCAGTACATACTAGGGGCTAATAATTGCGGGCAAGGTGAAGGCTCCTTGCAAGTTGGATTAAGTGCTGCCTGATAGATGGCGAATCTGGCGTGTTCAGAGTTCAGGATCTATATTACTTTGATGATCACTCTAACGGCATAAAGCATTGTCATGTGCCACCGCACTTGAGGCGCTGCTTCTGCTTACACGCGGGTATATATATGTTGGGTTAGTAATGTACACTAATCGAAGTATTCCTTCAGGCTTGGTGGACAATGTCTAGAGCATTAAATATACATCGTGATAATACTAGACGCCTTGGAGACCGAACCCCTGGGACTTTGCTATCTACATAACACCAAGCATTACATAGTTAGATTGTAAGTCCCATTTAAAGGCGCAGCTCAAAGGCCTACAGCCTCCGGTACATTAGGGCTCTTCTCGGCAATGTACCCAAATTTGAATAAACCCATGTTTGAGAAATCATTCCAGTATAAGACTTTCAGGAAATGCTTCAGGTTTTAGAAGGTGAAGACTCTTAGAGAGCTACGTTTACCTAAGCTTGCTGTCCTTTCACGATCAATCAGCTACGCACCTACAAGAAAAATGACTCGAACTTCGTTGGTCCAACTAGACTAGTTGAAACGGATAAGATATATAGGGACCTGTTCAGTGCGGCGATTCAGATACAAAACACTAACACCTACTCAGGCAACACAAGATACTTTCCCTGATCAGAGGTGACTCTTTACTCTGATCAGGACAGATAATTGCCTTAATCAGGGTAAAGCCAGAGCTGATCAGTGGAGTAGAACCTCCCAAGATTCTTGTGCTGTCACGATTGAAGGTAAACCATAGAAAGGCTCTCGCCTAATCAGGGGAAAGGTAGGTAAGAAAGATTCTCGTCAAAAGTTCATTATTGAATTCCTGTCTACTACCCAAGACACTGATCCTTATATCCTCTGATGTTGTGATGACAAAAGCGGATCCGTAATTGCCACTGCGCAATTACGGCTTATATCACAACATCTGATCAGTATATGCTTAGGTAACTTTCGCTGCCTATCTAGTATTCTTGGCCTGATCGCCCCACCCTGTTCCAGTAGGTATACTTGATTCAGAATTATATGGTGTAAATACTGTTTATAGGTCTCCTCAAGTCCTTCCTTCGATGTCTATGTACGGAGTATCCGTAATATGTGCCACTTTACTCGTCGCCAAGAGAGAAGCATCAATCCCCCGCATCGTTGGTCAAGCTCTCGCGTAAGATTTTCGTTCAACCCATGCAATCAGTGGATGGAGCTGGTACCCACAATTGATTATCTTCTCATCGACGTTTGTTTCATTAGCTTTGCGGGGAGTTCCGCATCTCAAAGTACGTAACTAACGGCGTCTCTAGCAACATACGGCTCCAGCCGGGTAGCTATATTGCATTATAGGCAGAATCCTTGCCAAAATCGAGAAGCACTGGCCAAAAGCTTCATCTCGACGAGAATACGCACTTAGTAAGGGGCCAGCTGCAGTGCCGGATAAGTGTCTGGAATTTCAGTGGTCAGCCAGTCCGCCCCTGACATACCTAGTGGCAACCCCCGATTACCTGCGACAATGGCCTCACCACTGGGCCATTATCGACCTCAGGGCCGTCGGCAATCGGACTTTATCAAGTTAGCGGCTCCAACAGCGACGTGAATACAGGGTTGCTGGCGGGAGTGGGTGCCTACATCGTCTTCCGTTAAGATGTTATAACCACACGTCGCATTTCATTGTGTATCTACGCAAGTCCTTCGCGGCTCTCCCTTTTTTAATTTCTCCTTGAGCCGCAGGCCAATCTCAACAACCTGACGATCGGCGGACACCAAGTATTATGGATTCTGACAGCAAATCACGCGGCCACAGCAGCGCGGCGGTCGCCGACGTCAACAACACACTCCCGGTTGACCAGCACAATGTCGCGATCAACGCATCAGGTCATGTACAAGCGCTCGAGCGGAATTTCAGTCTCCTCTCCCTGGCTGGCGTCGGCCTCGTCGTTGGCAACGTTTGGCCGGCGGTGGGCGGCTCCATCCTCGTCGCCATCTTCAACGGCGGGCCCCCGGGTGTGCTCTACGAGTTCGTCGCTGTGTCCGTCTGCTACTGGACCGTCGCCGCCAGCATTGCGGAGCTAGCGAGCGCCATTCCTTCGTCCGCGGGCGTGTACCATTTTGCGTCCGTCACGCCTGGTCGCCGATGGGGACGCGTGATTGGTTTCTTCGCCGGATGGTGGAATTATCTGGCTTGGATCCTCGGCGCAGCCAGCATGGCATCGATTTTTGGTAACACAGCCGTGCAGATGTACGCGCTCAATCACGCGGGGTTTGAGGCGAAGCCCTGGCACGTCTTCATCGTCTACATCATCGCCACGTGGCTCGCCTGCGCCATGGTGTGTCTGGCCAACGGCGCTATGCCTCGGATCAATGATATTGGAGTCTTTGCGATCTTGGCCGGCTTTCTTATCACCGTCATCGTTGTCGCTGTCATGCCTGGCCACGACGGACGGCCGCCTCATGCCTCCTCCTCCTTTGTCTGGACCGAATGGACCGCCGACATCGGATACCCCAACGGGTTCGTCTTCGTTGCCGGCATGCTTAACGGAGCTTTCAGCGTCGGTGCTGTTGATGCGACAACTCACTTGGCAGAGGAGATCCCGAACCCTCAGCGCAACGTTCCCATCGCCCTGGGGTTGCAAATGAGCATCGGGTTCATCACCGGCTTTTGCTATCTGGTCGCTGTCATGTACGCCATCAACGACTATGACGCCCTCTTCGAGTCTCCGTATCCCATTGCCGAAATTTACCGCCAGGCCACCGGATCTGCTGCCGGCGCGACTGGTCTGCTCGCCTTGGTACTCATCTGCATTGGTTTGACACTGATGGGACTGTACATCACTTGTGGCCGTACACTTTGGGCGCTCGCTCGTGACGGGGCGAGCCCTAGACCCAGCGTTCTTGGGAGAGTGAATTCCAGACTGGGAATGCCAGTGTGGTCTACCATTTTTTCAGCTGTGCTAGTAACAATCCTAGGGGCAATTTATGTTGGCAGCACTACTGCTTTCAACGCCTTTGTTGGAAGTTTCATCCTTCTTTCCAGCAGCTCCTATCTTGCTGCTATTTTGCCCAACCTCCTAGCAGGAAGGACTCGGGTCGCTTACGGGCCATTTCGTATGCGTGGATGGACTGGCTTTGCCGTCAATGGCTTTGCCTGTGCATACATGTTGGTTTGGTTTGTCATCTACTCTTTCCCTTTCGCGCTCCCTACAAATTCCCAGTCCATGAACTATGCATGTCTGATCTGGGGAGGTTTCACGACCTTGGTTGCCTTGTGGTGGCTGATGGGGGCCAGAAAGGGGTACGAAGGCCCAACGACAACGGGGGGCATCGTGACAGAAACGGAAGTCGGCGCAGGATCTCACCATCTTGCAAAATGATGTACATATCTGTATGGTTTCCCAATATCATCACTACCGGTTATCCGCTTCAAAATATTAACGCAATCAATCAATTTTGGCACAATGACTTCAGAGTGCTGCCATCTGTTATGCCGATCAGGTCTTACATAGTCTTGCTTATCCACCAGTCTCTTTTTCTTAAACTGGGAACCGTGTTGATCTTTTTTGTCTTGTTTTTGATGCTTAATTGAACCAAAGCTCACAATCAGCCTCAAAACTATTTGCAATGTTCAAGAGGGCAATGACTTTTTGGACATCAGACGTTAGAGGCGTGATTCCCGCTCTCATTCACTTAATTGCTCACTTACATCTACAGCCACTTTAAAGTCAGCAGGTTCAAGTCATGACTTCCAACACCGTCTTTTCAAGATTATGGATATGTTGCTATAAACCAGGTGAACAAATCGTGGAATAGCAGCGGCTCATATGGGCATACAAGCACCGCTGGTATTTACACCCATTGTCAACACATGAAGGTCCTTCATCATTTGGAACCAGGCACTATGTTTAGTAATCGAGCTAGTCCTGGGACTAAAACACAAGGACCGCGGACCATCTGGAGAAGGCAACTAGTGCTAGCAGCCCCTGGACTTTCACGGTACGGCTGAATCGTTCGAGGGAGCACCATGACCTTGCAATAGTTAGATCCGGTGTTTTCCGTCGTAGGCTGCCTGTGACCTCGAAACTTGGGCGGAAGGGGGGGGGACGGTCGTTGCATTGACAGAACCAATGATTCATTGACAACAAAGCCGATGCTAGAATCGACGGCGGGACATGTGTTTAAGACTGATCGTTATGTGTATATCGGTGCTTGGACTTATCGGGGTTTCAGGAATGTTTCTTGGAGATGCATCTAAGTTCACCGCATGTTCAACGAGGGGGAAGGAAGCAAGCGGCGGAATGATAGTCCGGCATGAGACACCGACCGACCAACACATCGATGACAGCAGATGTCTCAACCAATCGACTACTACCCCAACAACGATTCCTAACTTTGCCTCCCCCCCCCCCCCCCCCCCCCCTCCCATGCTGGCTAGGTAGTGAACCATACGGCAACAGGAAAATCGCTCAACCAGTGAAATCAGCTCAAAATGAGAAGCAAGGGTTTATCGTCCGCCGTCCTCTCCCATCTTGACCAGTCCTACCCGTATAATCTCGGCTCCTTTCACCGCCCCGTGAGCACGACGAGCACAGATGCCCAAATCTGGTTCAACCGCGGCCTGACCTGGGCGTACGCCTTCAACCACGGGGAATCGGCGAGATGTTTCCAAAAGGCCATTGATCATGACCCCTTTTGTGCCATGGCTTACTGGGGGCTCGCCTTCGTGCTGGGGCCCAACTACAACAAGCCGTGGAAGGTCTTTGACGGAAAAGACCTAGCAGAGACCACCAAGCGCGCTCATCGCACCATCGTGCAGGCACAGGGCCACATCGCCAAGGCGATGCCCGTCGAGGTCGCCCTCATCAACGCCCTCGCGTGCCGGTACCCGCAAGAGACGCCCGCGGGCGATTGTTCGCAATGGAACCAGGACTATGCCCAGGCCATGGACGCGGTGCTGCAGGACTACCCCAACGATCTTGATGTGGTCGCCCTCTGGACCGATGCTACGATGAATGTCACGCCCTGGAAGCTGTGGGACTACAGGACGGGGAGGCCCATCCCTGGTGCCAGGACGTTGGAGATCAAGGACGTGATGGACCGGACTTTCAAAGTGAAGGGCTCTCTGCAGCACCCGGGCCTCCTACATTTGTACATCCACCTCATGGAGATGTCGCCCACTCCAGAGGCCGCTCTCACGATAGCCGACAATCTGCGCGGGCTCGTGCCGGACGCGGGCCATCTGGAGCACATGCCCACCCATCTCGACATCATATGCGGCGAGTACCGCCGGGCCATAGCCTCCAACTCTGACGCCATCCGTGCCGACTCCAAATTTCTTGCCCGGGAAGGCCCACTGAACTTCTATACCCTGTATCGTTCCCATGACTTCCATTTCAGGCTGTATGCCTCCATGCTGTGCGGCCAGTCCAAAGTAGCCCTCGGGACGGTCGCGGAGCTCGAATCGACCATATCGGAGGATCTCTTGCGTGTCAAGTCCCCGCCCATGGCGGACTGGCTGGAGGGCTTCCTCGGCATGCGGATGCACGCGCTAATCCGTTTCGGTCGATGGGACGACATACACGCCCTCGAGCTTCCCCGGGACTCTCAGCTCTACTGCTCGACAACGGCCATGACGCACTACGCCAAGGGGGTCGCCTTCGCCGTTCAAGGCAGGGTGGAGGAGGCGGAGAAGCAGCGGGTCCTGTTCGCTAGGGCCGCGGAGCGGGTGCCCCCGTCTCGCGCCGTCTTCAACAACACGTGCCAGGAGATCCTCTCGATCGCGGAGGCGATGCTGGACGGCGAGCTGGCCTACCGGAAGGGCGAGTATGAGACCGCCTTCGGGCACCTGTGCAAGGCCGTAGAGAGGGACGACGCCCTGCCCTACGACGAGCCGTGGGGCTGGATGCAGCCGACGCGGCACGCCCTCGGCGCGCTGCTCCTGGAGCAGGGCCGCGTGGCGGAGGCGGCGAGCGTCTACAGCGCGGACCTCGGCATCGACGAGACGCTCCCCCGGGCCCTGCGGCACCCCAACAACGTCTGGGGCCTGCATGGATTCTACGAGTGTCTGGTGAAGCTCGGGCGCCACGACGAGGCCAGGATCCTCAAGCCGCAGCTGAATCTGGCGTTGGCCGTGGCCGACGTCCCCATCAAGTCGTCGTGCTTCTGTCGCCTGAAAACGGTCGATTGACAGATAAGGTACCTGAGGCCGCCGTCGCAGCGCGACCTCAGTGACACTCAAGGACCACGGGCCAGGTTATGACACTGGCTTTCCTGATGGGGGATGGGGATGGGACGGACAGCGATGGCGCTGTGGGGGAGGGGGGGTGAAACAAAGGAAGAATTTGGGCTAATAGGGACGTGGAATGTGACGTGATTTGGGGGGGGGGCATGGGACGGGTTGCATCGACGTGCTGGGAAGCATTCGGCAGATGGCGGGGGAGAACGAAACAAGTGGACTTTGTTTAGGTCTAGTACTGCCAATGATGCCCCCAGCCCCGTGGTACAGCTCACATATGTATTTGTATTTCACTTTTGTGCGCTGCATTCTTATATCAAAAGCGTCTTCTGCAAAAACGACATCCGATTCATTCTAAAGGGAGCTCCGGCTTAGCTATTCCGGCAGAAATCTTCCGCTGCACTTGTTATCCAAGAGAGCGAGCAGGGTGTGACTATCCCTCAGGTAAAGAGTTATGGTCTACTTACCACGTCCTCGACCAAGTAAGTGCTCAAGTTGGGGTGCCGAGCCGACACGGACGATTTCCTGGTTATGAAGAGACGCCTGCCTCGGGCAAAGGTTTAACGCTGCCGGCATGTCTTCTACGAAAGGCGACGGGCCCGGGGTTGGGGGCAACCAATGAGAGAACGAAAGGGGGGGTGGGGGGGGGGGGGGGATCAACAATGTAAAAGACTTCGCCGTCTTCAGGCCATTCCGTCACATAGTCGGGTGGCACGGAATATAAGCAGCGCGGGGAAATCATATTAACAGGCTAACTCACTGATCGCTTCTCTATGCAGCACGTCAACTGAAAATGTGGTCATGTGGTTGAATTCGTTGGGCCATTCTGCAAGGTTGGCGCGCGTGAGACGCCGCCCATGGCCTACAATAATTAGAATACTAGGAATGTCAAGATGATTGATTCCGTATGCCCCGTCTTCAGGAAATATCACCAAGGCCCAGATGACATCCATCTGGAATAATGTCCGCCCGCCGTTATAGCCGCTCCTCTACAAGTCTCTGCTTGCTTGCTTGCTAGAGGCCAGGCCCCTAGAGTGATAATGCATACAAACTCAATATGGGCACGAGAAAGAAACCCAACTCAATATGCAAGCGATGTCGCTCAGCGCCCAGGGCCGTGAAGAGAGTTCTTTAGCAGCTCGTACATGTCGTTGTCGCCTTCAGCATAATTATGGCCTGGCATCGTGACAGAGCTGTGATGTTGATGTTGCTGGTATGCCTGGTTGGCATTGCTCACATTCGAGCCAGTGCCGTAGTTTGTGGTAGCGCTGCCTCTAGCAGCATACCCTCCAGAAACACTGGCTGACGAAAACGAGCCATTAATGCCCGACCCGAAACCATACCAGTTGTGCTGGTCCGGCTGGTGAGGTTGCTGGTGCGTCTGGGAGGAGTACGAGCTGTAGGATACCTGTTGTTGCGGTTGGTGTTGGTGTTGCTGCTGCTGTCGCTGATTGTTGGGTCTGGTGGATGACCTGGCTTGACTGGCTGTCGTCGGGGCTCGCGTGTTCAATGACTGCAGCGTGGAAGACTGCTGTGGTGCAGTCGACGAGGGTTGGGCGTAGGAGCTAGCAGCTGACGCACTCGCATCGTTGCTACCGTAAGCCTGCGTATTACGAGTTTGCGGTTGGGTATTGTACAACTGTCTAGATCGCGGATTGATACTTGGAGTGTAAGCTAGAGTCGTGCTTTGTGACGTAATATTGCCCCTGTCGTAGTCGTAAGACGGGTAAGTCGTCGTGCTTGCAGAGGTGGTCTGTGCCGTGTAAGGCTGGTATGTCGCGAGTCTCGTGCCGACGTTGGTTGTGTTACTCGCGTCGGAGTACTTCCTATTATAGGTATTGTACTGGGTACCATTGAATGTACTGGTATCCGCAGTCCCCTGAGTGGACGGCTGGACAATCTGTTGAGGAGGGAGGGCTCGTTGCTCATTGACAGGCGTGCGAGTTGACGCTCGGTGGCCAGCCCGACTCTCAGTCCGAGCTGCTTGTCGCGGAGCCTGGAATGGCGAGACTTGCGCGGGGGTGACAGCCTTAGGAGCCTGAGCTACTTGAGCCACTTGCTGCGGGGGAGAAGGCTGATATTGCTGCTGCTGTTGCACAGCGGCGTGAGCTGCAGTCTGTTGCGTTTTGCCATGGTTGCCAAGAGAAGCCGATTGCTGCGTGGCAACAGTTGGTGCAGGTGTTTGAGCAGACTTCCGCGGCAGGCGTTGCTGCGCTGTTGTGGTGGGTGACGGTATGTTTGTCGCCTTGGAGGGTGACAAGTTATGCCAATTCTGCGTGTAGTTCGAAGAAGGGGCAGGGTCTTCGGCGGCAGACTGCTGCGGCTGCTCGGTTGGCAAGCTACGCCGTGTTGTGGGGGCTCTCGTCGACCGGGGGCTTTCCACCTCAGGCTGAGTGTAGTTGAGATTGCTGGTGTCAGGAGTAGTAGTGTACAAGTAGCCGGCATTTTCCGTGTTGGTTGGCTGGACGTAGCCCGATGTGTCCGCACTTGGCTGAGTGTAAGTCGCCGTCTCAGTAAGGGGAGAGGTCTGCTCATAACTCGTGGTAGCCGTCTGTTGCTCTGCATAGGTTACGGTAGCTGAAGGTTCTGGATACGAGGACTCGCCGTGAGATATGCTCATCGCACTGGAAGCATCTTGAGTGAATGCTAGCTCGTCATGGCCAGAGTTGAAGTAGTCCTGACTGGAAGGCTCGGCAGCAGGAGTGAGCATGTTGGCAACAGGCATGTTTGACGTGTAATCGATGGTTTCGATGTCTTCAGGCTCCTGCTCTTCAGTCTGCACGGCAGGCTCTGGGATGGGCTCGTGCTTCGGTTCCGGCTCTGCTTCGGCTTCGCCATCATCGCCACTCCCCACTGGCGTTTTGGAGCTTTCTTCCTTCTTCTTGGCTGCCTGTTTTCTGACAAGGGGATACTGGCACTCAACATCCTGTTCTTCGCACGAAGAGCAAGTAGGTTTGGCTCGATCGCACTAGTCTCAAGTTAGACGATGAGCTTCGCATGAAACAATGCCGACTTGCCTTGGCCTTGGCCCTTCTGCAGGCAATGCAGGAGCCTCTCGAGACTTGCTTCAATGGTGTACCCGCCGGTGCGGGGATCAACTCTTCCTCAGCATCGCCAGCCGCCTGGCTGGACTTCCGCGGCCGCCGCTTCTTTGCGGGGGCGGGGGTTTCCGATGTGACCTCTGAATCGTCAGCTTCCGGCTCAGCTGTTGTGGCCTGCTGGGGGCCGGGGGACGCATTTGTTGGCGACGACGCAGCGGCATCATTGGGATGCACGATTCGGAGTCTCTCGGCACCGTACTTGACCAGCATGGCAAGAGACTCTTTCTGAAGATCCGGGGATTGGTTGGCGAAGATGCTAAATTGCTCCGTAGAAAGGCTTTCTGGATCCACGCCGCTGCCACTGAGGAGTCTAATGGCAACCTCACGACGTCGAGCTGCTTCGGCCGGGGGAACGTTGAGGACCGCATGTTCATGAACTCCGCTTTGCACAGCAGCATCCGCCTTGGTTGGGACAGTGGCTGTCGTTCGGCCGTCGCCGAAAGCCTCTTCCTGCGCACCTCCAGCGCCTGCCGCTGCCTCTCGATTTTCTTTTCCCTTCTTCCTTGGCTGACCAGGCGTTCCGTCTCCATTCGCCTCGCTCCTCCTCTTCTTCCTTCTTGGCACACTGGGCGTCCCGTCCGCATTCGCCTCGCTCTTTCTCTTTTTTGGCGTCTTGGCCTTCTTCGGCCTGTCGCCAGTGGGAATCAGGGGAACTGGCGATGCTGCAGGGGGGAGCGGCCGGAAATGCTCAATCATCTCACCAACGGTCTTATGGAAGGGCGTGTGTTCGTACTTGACACTGATCGTTCGCGAGTTCTTGGAAAAGGCAATGATGAGAACGCCGCGGCAGTCAAACGCCGGCCGGCCTGGAGCATGGTCAATAGGTGCGTGTTGCCGTCGCGAATCGCATGGAGTTCCTTACCTGAGACGGAGGGTTCCAGCTCCTTCTGGCTGTAGTCTCCGACGAGAGGCTTGGTGACCTTCTTCCCGTTCTGCCTGTTCCACATGGCCACGGAGTCCTTGCAGATGTAGGTGAAGGACCAGCCGTACTGGCCACGCGAGACCTCTCGAACCACCCACGTACTCTCATCTGCGGTCGACAAAAGTCCCGCAATATGTTTCGCCACAGCTCGCTGAATTGCTGGATTGTCGTGGGGTTGGCTGATAATGGTATCGTAGGCGCGCACGATCTTCACAGGCTGGCCTTCGACGGCGTGTGGTTGAACACCATTCAAAGCGGGGTCAACGTTTTCTTGCGCATCGCCGTCGCTTGTTTGAATGGCGAATTCAACAGTCGGCGGTACTTCGAGTGTGATGGAGACGTGTTCGCATCGTGTGGGTGTTTTCTTTGTTTCGAGGTCGCGGCGGAGCAGGCTCGGAAGGTCGTCGGGATGCGCAATCGGCGGCATGCCGCTGTGCGCGTCGCCATACGAGGGCGCTAGGCCCAGCAGGGCCTCAGCCATGGTAGTGTGAGAAGCCCGACTCTGGCTGCGGTGGATAAAGATGGCAAGGCACGAAAGTCGCGTTTTCGCGGTTGGCGACTGCTGTGTGGTGACGGAATTCCGTTCAAGGTCGCCGATGGACGATTTGGTTATTGGGGTTGTCAGCCGCGTCGATGCGCCGCGTCCATTAAGATGGGGTGTGGGGATGGATGTGAGAGGTGGAGGCTGGGGCAGTGTGTGCATAACATTATAGCGGCCACCACCTCCACTGTGACCTTGACCTTCAGGACACGGACCTGCCATAGCTGAGCTCAGGACCTTTGTCGGTTCTGGGGTGCCAGGTGCCAAGGACGCGGAATCAGTCATATCTGCATTTTCCCACTTGTCGTTCACTCTTGGGCTGGAATCTCATTTTTCGTCTCGTTTGCAATATGGACACCAAAGAGATCGAGGTTGGTAAGTTATAGATATCGTCGTGCGGGGGAACGGGATATTGAGTAGTATCGTCTGAGCTGGCTTCAAGTCGATATTGTCGACGGGAAGGAGGGGGCTGCGCAAAACTCATCGCCCATCCATTTGCCGGATATCGGGAAATATTGAGCGGGAAATAGCGTCCTTGAGTACAGTTGCTCTATATTCTAGGTTCTAGGTAGGTGACGTGATATTGATCGGGCAGGTAGGTATTAGTTCAAACCGCAGGTATGAGCGACCTCCTAGGCGAATAGATTAACGATTTTTTTTCTTTTGTTCATCTTTGATCAAGGGACAGATCCTGCACGGTCCATCTGTCTGCTGAATTTCATTATCCTTGCCATAAGGCAGTTAATTTGTTGATAATCAAGAACAAAACCAAGTCCACCGCAAACCATCACGACAGACCGCACAAGTAGGCTCCTTTGACTCCTAACACAGGCTTCAAATTACATTGGCGTTTCACGAGTGGTAAAATAAACCCTGTTGCACACCAAGTCATTTGCTACTACATAGGAAACTAAGAAAACACTAATAGGGGTTTGCCCCCATTATCATTACTGAGAGAGCTTAAACTCGCAAGGGTATCAATGGTGCGCAGGTGTCGAGTGAAGCATGCGCTTTAGTAATAAACCTTCTCATCCCATATAGGAGGTCTAGCAACCTCCGAATCCCACACCAGCTTGTTCTTCTCGTCCAATTGGCAACCTTCATCCGTGATAGGAACGATCTTGCTCGTCTGGGCAATCTCCGACTTGGATACTCCAGCAGCATCCTCAGGAATCCAGAGAAGAGGGGGCAGGCTAGAGACCGAAGGAGGAAAGTAGGCGTTGTCTTGGATAGTGCCAGGATACATCTCGTCGATGGTAGCGGCGTGGTGAGGAACCAGCTGGCGGAGCGTGAGGTAGTCGGTAAAGATCCAAGGTTTGAGGAACCGTGTCACCATGTTACCTCCCTTACCCACAGTGTTGCCTTCGCCGCCGGGAGCAAAGTTCTTGATGTTTGGCACCTTCTTGAAGAGGTTGCCCGACTCGGCGTTTTGCTCCTCCGACACACCTCTACCCGAATCCTTGCGGTCGATTCCCTCAATGTTGGCGTTTAACGACTCCTCTTCCACCTGCAAAGTTCTGGGGAGTGTGTACATGAGTGGGTCGAGGACACTGTTCAACGTGAGGTGGAACAGGACTGAGAAGACGAGGAAGACAATCATGAGAACGAGAGGGCCAATGGCAACCGACACGGCGAAAAGGCCAATCATGCAAATCTCTGCCAGGTAAACGCCAGCGAACAGTTGCTTGAGGGCGCGAGGGTACAATAGACCTCTGGTGTCGACCTTGGTGTCGGTGACGAAGAGGACGTTGTAGCGGTAAGCCAGGTAGAACAAACCCATGCCCAACGTTGAGAAGAACAGCATCAAGGGTGCAATGATGGCGTAGGTGATACCTAGGGCCATGTTAATCGGATGAAAAATTTGGATGTGGATGCTGGGCTCGACGACTTACTGATAACCGCAATGGTCGTGTACACGGGGAGAACGCTCCCCCAAGAGATGGCCGCAAGCGCAGACCACTTCTGGTACAGAGCTCTAGGCGTGTTGGTGAGGAACTTCAGCACCGCCACGAAAATGGCAAACGCAACCACCTGAGTCAGAACGCCAGTCGCAAGGGTGATACCTTGAACTATGAAATAGCTGATGTAAAAGCTGGAAGACTTGGGCAACGCCATGGATAAGGTGCCGAAGATGGAGCCTGGGTTTTGAGCGACTGCCTGAATAGTGGCGACGGCCGAACTAGAGATGGTTGTGATCAAAAAGACCTGGATCAGCTGGAACCAAAAGTAGGCGTTCTGGGTGAACAGTTCGACGCGCGAGTCCGAGGGCTCGCCTGAGAGCTTGGCGCATAGGCGCATGATGACGGGCACCAACGACATGAGGATGGACAGGGCAACACTAGGGAGCAGGCCAGAGACGACTCCCATAATGACATTGGGGATCTTCTTGAGCCATGTGAGGAAGGGAACCGTCTCCAGAACGGAAACCTGCGAGATGATACCGACAACAGTAACCGGCACGGCCCAGAAGATGATCAGGGCGGCGATGAAGGCAAGGACAGCATACCGGCGAACAACTTTTTGCCACCACGACACCCTCAATGACTTCCAGATGACTTCAGTAGGCTTGATTCCGATGTACTTCGGCGTCATCTGCAAAGCTTGGTGGTGAGTGGTGACCTGGAAGGCTGCCTGGGCGTCGGACTGGGTGAAGAATTCGGCAAACACGGCCGGTATCTTCTTGGCCTTTCCGGAACGATACTCGGCTTGGGCAGCCTCGACAGCGGGGATCAAACGCTGAAGCTCAGAGCGACACCATTCGATCGTGTCAACCTTCTTTCCGACGAGACCCAGCGGGCCGAGGCGATGGGTCGGGCGTTTCTTCTGAGGGATCCAGCGAGCCGAGGCATCAGCAGACTCGGTATCTTGAGCGGTCGGGGCCTTGTCGTCTGATGCACCCTTCTTAACAGCCTTGAGGCGAGCGGCGTTAGCCAACTTGATAAGCTTGACCTGGGCCTTCTCGAGCTTCATGGCGACCTTGTCGCGCTCCTCCACGAGCTCATCTAGCTTCTCAGTGTCGCCAGTGATCCAAACTCTCTTGATGGAATCGCTGAAGAGCTTCTTGAACTTGGCCTCATCCAGGTAGGCATCGGGGACCGAGGTGAAGAGGACGGTGCGCGATGAGATGCGCTTGGAGTAGGTTGGCGAAAGCAAGAAGGCCTGGCGCAGGTTGATGTAGTAGATGCACTCCCGCATGATCAGATACATGACAAAACCGTAGAAGAGCCAGCCGAGGAGTGCATGGGCGTATAAGCGGTTGACGCCGGACGGGACCGTGACATCAATGTTGCTGTAAGACAGAACGTCAAGCTGGCCAGCATTGCCTCCACCAGTGGCATTGACAGGGAACAAGATAGGCCATGTCATGACAAGGCCGATCAAGCAGATGGTGGCGCAGATGCGAAGGAAGCGAAGGAAAAGATAAGAATCCAGGGACTGGTGCTTGAGAGCATAAATGTCGGGTATCTTCCAGAATTGACCAACCCAGTTGAAAATACCACTGGGCAGACTCGGGGATCGTTCACTACGAGGTAGTCAGCATCTGGGCATTGCAAGAGACGAGATGGCGAAATGCAAGAGATGAATTGGAAGGCGGGATGAACAATGAGATAGGATGTAGCTTAGCACAATGGGATTATTAGTTGGACTGACCTTTCGCGCAAACTGCCGAGATAGGTTCGCGGCGCATAGAACCGACGTTGGCTCCGACGAAGGATGAGAAAGATAACGAGGTAGACACCGGCGATGGGGGCGCAAACAGCCAGGGTGCTGACCAAGCCAGAGATGGAGCTGCCCGATTTGTCGCCGACAGCCTCACCTCTGTCTTGTCCACTCTGGAGATCGTCGAGGCCTGACATGGCGGCGACGATAATGAGGAATTGAAGGCCTTCCAGTCGTGATGGGTATTGTAGACGGAGTTTCAGCAGAATAGAGAAGGGGGAAGAAAACCTATAAGAGGATCTCGAAGAATGTAGGTAGATTATGTACCTATGATGGGGGCCAAGACGGGTATTAAACAGGGAAGTGAATCGAGTCAAGGATCATGTCGGGAGACAGTTCCTGGGACAGGGGCAGGGGGTAAAGAAGAGTTGACTGGCAAAGGGAGGGGATGTGCACGGGATGACATGTACGAGTCGAGAAAGCGGGAGTTGGGAAATGAGACAAATTTAGGTAGGCTGGAAAAGTTGAAGTACGTAGGTACCTAGGTAGACGGCGCAGCGCCCTTCTCCCATCATCACCATCCATTCTCCCTCTTGTCGATACCTAACATCTTGCCCCAGACATCTCGATCGTAGGGGCAGTAGCACCAACGGGGGCAAGCAGGACAAGCGCCAGGACGAGCGCCA